AAAGTATCGCAATAGACCCTGAATCACGTCATATAATTCAGTGCCAAACAAACACGACATTGTCGGTTTTTTGGTGCACAAGGAGATATTTTGAGCAATTATGAAGGATTTTGAATTCACCGTCTAAGAGTATAAGGACCCCTTTCGCATACTTTGGGAATGCGACCAGTTAAAAACTTTCACTTTGGTGATTAGATATGCCTCTGGGCCGGGTTGTTCAAAGCTGGATTAAGATAACCCAGGGTTAGTGCGAAATATGAATTCAGAAATTGAAAGCTTAAAAGTAAATTCAGTTTAATTCTTTTTGTTAATAGGTTAATGATTGGGTACTCTTAAGAATAACAGAGAAAATTATCCGAGAAAATGCTTTTGAACAAAGATAGCCGGGTTGGACCCACTTTGTCTCAATAGTTTTTTTAATGAAAGAGTAATACCAGAGTGTATTCATAGCAAGGTACCGCAAACTGCCGCTTATACGTTCCCCTCCCGGTCTTAAGACCCTTCGGATATAAGTCCCTCCGTTTATTACCCGTCCTAAAACCCCTTACGAAGATGTATAACCCCAGGGCTTATAAGTTTGCAGTATGTCAAGCTTGACCGGGAAAAGAACCTTGACCTTTACGATGACCAGCAATCCATTGAGCCAATCACTCCAGGAGCTCGAGAGCAAGTCATTGTGACGGTTAGGGACTGTGCAATGGGTGAAATATGTCCCCAAACTATGTCATACCCCCCTCTCATTAAGCAAAAATTAATTTGACCCCCTCTCCATCACATACCCCCCTCCCCCCCCCCCGCTTAAAAAAGATCTCCTCCAATCGATTCCCTCATACATAGTTTACTTGTTGGATTTCTTCCTCGTCGAAGAGTCATCAGAATCACTGGGCTCTGAGCTTGTGTCGTCTTCGCATGAATTGGGAGATTCCTCATCTTCTACAGCATCTCTGGCACTAAGGTTCCCGCGTGCGTGAGTAAGAACTCAGGAATTCCAGTCAGATTTAGCTCTTTTTTTTTTGAAGCTCAATTTAATCATACTGTGTTTTATTTACCATAATTTAAATTTGTATCGCTATTAAAATTTCAACAGTTGGGTTTTTCATTCTGCTTAATTATGATGCCATGTGTGCTAACATTGGCATCTTTCTTTTTTATTGAATAAAATTATAGTGCTACTTTTGCAACTTTTAATTAAAGTTTCCTATTTTATTAAATCCTAGCTAGTGCAAATAAAGTAGCACTGTTTTAACATATATAACGGAGGCATTCCTTTCCTACTGCATGACAGATAGGAAAACAACAGTTCATAGATCATAACACCTTGGAGTTGCTAAATTTGTCAGTTTTATTTCAATGTTAGTAGTTATATTTGAACTCTAATAACTCTTCCACTACTTTTCCAGTTTGCAAAAAGGAATGAAAAAGTAATGCCCCCCGCCTGTATGTATTAAATTTTACATCCAACCCCTCCTCTCTCTTGTTGTCATTTTCTCCTATGCCCCGCCTCTAATTTTCCAACCCCCCCCCCCCCCCCAGTAAATTTTGCACCAGCCCTCTCCTAACTCCCCGCGCTGGGGGAAATGAAATGATTTTAAATAAATAAAAAGAAATAAAATTTTAACCGGGGGTAAAAATTTAAAATTGCTTTTAAAAATTTAAAAAAGAAAAAATTTATTTCTCAAAAGACAATAAAATTATTGCACAGTCTCTTACTAATGTACCGGCGATGGTGGAAATGACATGATTTGAAATATATGAAATGAATCATACTTTGAACTGCGGATAAAGATTAACTATTGCTTTGAAAATTTGAAGAAAGATAAATTTGATTCTTCAAATGGAAATAATTTAAGTCTCTTTAGTAAATTGAGAAATTTGAAGCAAATCGTTTAATTTGTACTAGGTGTTTCCACCTGTTGTTGGGACAAAACCGTAGAATATAAATGAGCTTTAGATTGTAAAGGTGCAAAGATCAACCATATTTAGCATTTCCTCTATTTGGACATCTTACGCAAAAGAAACTGTGTTTTCCAAATACAATTCAGGCTGTAACTCGCGTAGTCTGCGTAGCGGGCGCTTAGAAGTATATAATAGGGCCATTTATACGAGGAAAAATAAGACGTGTCTTAAATAAGACGCGAACTTTCCGTATAAACGGCACATTTCGTCTAAAATGAAACGCGGCTTAGCTAAGACGCGTCTTATTAGATAAGATATGCTCGTATAAATGGTACAGTTCGCGTCTTATTTAAGACGCGTCTTGTTTTTCCTCGTATAAATGGCCCTATTGTCAACAAGAAAGAACGGGGGCGAGAGGGAGTCTTTCTTGCGCCCACTAATTCCAAGCATCTGCTACGCAGGCTATAACTCGCGTAATGACAATAAGCCTTTCAGTGAAGGCTTTTACTACTGCTTGTAACTGAACGAGTCAGGATCATGCAAAATTTAGGAGGAGTGTATTGTGGGGGATTCAAAAGCGCCGATTTACTGAAAACCAGTTCTGAATTTTCAAAAATCTGAACTTAAGCATTCCTTAAAAAATGCGAGTAGCGTATAAACCATGTATGATCATAAATTTCGTTTATCGTTGTTGTTGTTGTTGTTGTTGTTGTTGTTGTTGTTTTGACTCTTTTCCTTTTCCGTTACTTTGTCTGTTTTTATACATATGTTTTGGTACTAAAATCTGCCGAAGAGTCAATAAATTAAAGTCAATAAATTGAAAGTCTAGATATCGTTTGTGAGGCCGATCCTCTTAACATTTGTCTCGTGACATCCTCACTCAGGAAGCAATAATCGGCTCCTGCCCAACCCTATTACTCGTCTGCAGTCTGAGTAAAGCACATTTTTTGTCAGCAGTACCTCTACCAGCTCTACCCTTTAGCTAGCCTCCTACCCAGACGTTCATTGGCCGGCTTCGTCACGATTTCCTTCCCCCACCACGAGGGCGTGGCTGGAATGAATAAATTCTTATCTTCAGAGGAGCATCCCGGTTACTTTTATATGGAAGGCACCCCCCAACCCAAATAGAACCTTCCAGGAATACCAAGGGAATTTAAATTTTGTGAAGCGAATAGCTGGTCTATGATGATGCACCCTTTCCTTTCCCTTCGGAGAAGTCTTCCAAAGCCTTCGCCTCGAAGACTAACAAAAGTGGGTCACTGATTTGACTGATTTCGTGTGCAGCTAGGCAACCATTATCCACTTGGACAGTTTGTTTACATGGAATGAACACTTATCTCAAACCTGTAAAGAGGTGTTTCCTAAACCTCGTTTATTGACCAGATTATCTCATTTTCTAACCACAATTTGTGCTACTCAAAATTTTTAAACTGACCATTCTACGTATAGTTAACTACGGATCTGTAGTGCGGTTAGACTGCCCGAAGGTAATGGTAGACAAACTTGAAAGCTTTCAGAATTATGCTATGCGTTCTATAGATCGTTTTCACTGTTAGGCAACAAAAAAATATATTGGAAACCGTCCTGTGAAAGAAGCCAAGAAAATGAAATTTTATAAAAGACTAATATATAAACAATTTGTCCAAGTCTCAGGTCTTTGTGGCCCACAGTTTCTGAGTTATTTTCCGAAACGTTTCATGCACCTTTGTAGAGCTTTGTATGGAGACGCCATATTGGTGTACCGTTTTGGTGCACCAATATGGCCGCCGGAAATCAACAACAACATCTGGAGTTCACTTTTCTATAAAAGCTCTTTCTTTTCACTCGAGAACTAACATACGTACACATAAACATATCTTCTAATACTTGAAATGGTTATACTGCTGAAAATCAAGAGGAGAGACTTTTTTCAACGAGACAGCATTCCTATTTTGGTGTCACGCACTGTGAAAACTCGGAAGTTCAAATTGCTGCATTTTCGAAATGAAACATGCTACGGGAATGAAAACCTGTACAAAGATTCACTTTTTGTTTATCTTCAACCTAGTGTAAAAAGGAATTCGTAAAACCTCGCTATTTTGACTTTACAATTTGACATCTATACTCAAAGCAGACAGAAAAACCTGTACTCAGACAATGCGCGATGAGCTTAATTTATTAACGTTAGGAAACCGCAGGTGTTTCCTTAGGTTTCAACTTCTGCGCCGAACAGTTAATCTCATATATATTTACCTCGCCGATCCAGCGTACGCACGAGGAGCTCAGGGACGATAATTTACTACAGACAGCCAGGGGCCAAAGTACAATTCAGTACTTGGCCGCGAAAGATTGACACCCATAAGGCCCATATCTTTTAAATCAGCAATTTTTAAGTTTTTACGTGACGAAAATGGACACAGTCACCAATGCAAGGTTTTATGACTCTTTTTAATTAACGTCGCTTGTAAGTGTAAATAGTTGTATCATATGCAGATTTTCTTTTTTTAGATTATTTATGCTCCTCATGAGTTAATACAAGCTGTAGGCTGATTCATCATGCAGAATAAATTAAGCTTTTTTAAAATTATTTTTATCATTATTATTATTATTATTATTATTATTATTATTATGCCCTCTTTGGCTTTTCTTTTTATAGTAAGGTTCTACAGTTCTAAGTTTTTTTTTTTTTTTGCATTTGATCAATGGACTGACTTGGCCTTTCCTTTATAGGGTGTTTTTTTAGGGAGATGAACGTGACATCGGAAAAATAACAAGTTGATAATCCCATCTGACAGGAAATGAACCAGTTGGCTGTTTAAAAACTTGCTTGAGGAGCGGAACTACCGTTGTAGTCATAGAATTGCCAGATATGGCAAAATAACCCCTCGCAACGAGAGTGACCTTGAGAGCCCTTGTGTACCAGTCTCCCTTCAACAATCTGAATGAGGATCCCAGCAATCTCCGCGGGCAGTCCAAAGTCCAAGGATACATATTGTAGTTTATAAAAAGCAGAATATCGCAGATGACACTAATATCACCCGTTGCATAACAGTCGCTTTCATCAGCTAGTTTTAATCAGCGTGCTGAAAGAAAACAGCAAAGATCAGTGCTATATTTTAGTCAATATGGCCTTGGAACGGTTGAAGAACAAGACCAAGAAGGCCTTCGCCAGCATCTCAGTGATCACCTACGCACTCGTGGTCATTTTCGGGACAGGTTCCTGGATTGCAATCAATGGACTCTGGGTTGAATTACCTTTAATTGTTCCTGAAATCCCAGAAAGTTGGTCGCTACCGTCATATCTAACTGTTATGATTCAACTGGCAAACATAGCCCCCTTGGCATTTGCAGTGGGCAACAAACTTTTCCCACGTGTAGTTCGCGAGGTACCAGTTATTTACATCAGTGTTTTGGTCGGTATTACGTCGTGCGTTCTCTTGGTATTTTTTTGGAAAGAAACCAGTTACATCGCAGGAGCGGAGAGAAGTACAGCGCTGCTTGTCCTGTGTTTCTTTCTCTCCATGGTAGATTGTACCTCCTCTGTGTCGTTCATACCCTACATGGCCATCTTCCGAGAAGCGTACATGAGCCCGTATTTTGCCGGTGAGGGTTTAAGCGGGCTTCTTCCGAGTCTTGTAGCATTGGCACAGGGAGTAGGTGGAGGTTCTCATGACCCTTGTCCAGCTCCAAACCCGACAGAGGCACCTTTGAACGGTACTAATGGAACATCAGGGAATGCTACTGATTCTGGAAGCTGGGGTCAAAATGAGCCAAAATTCTCTGTTGAAGTGTTCTTCTGGTTTCTCAGTGCGATGATGACAGCTTGTGGTTTGGCGTTCCTTGCTTTAAACACGCTTCCCATTACTAAGCGACAGCAGGTTGGTAAAGACTCCAAATCTTTGTATCATATAAGTCCACAGCCAAGTGAATCAGGCCTTGAGCTTTCCCCGATGGATGAGAAACATGAAAAAAATGAAATTGTCATCGATGAAGATTTGTCACGAGGTGGTGTTGTGCTCCTGTTACTGATCATAGCTCTGGCCGGGGGCCTGAGTAATGGAATTTTACCAGCTATCCAGTCATATGCATGTATACCATACAGCTACTACATTTATCACCTGACCCTCACACTGTCAGCCATAGCCAATCCCGTCACTTGTATTCTGTTCCCCTTTATAAGTACCACATCAGTGGTAGTTATCAGTGCACTGACCTTCATGTACTTTGGTATGTGTACCTACATCCTCATTGTGGCCTCACAAAGTCCTGATGTGCTGATGAAATGTGACAATTCTGGTGCTGTTTTGATTGTAAGTATATTAATTTTTCACTATTTGAATAGAGGAAGATAACATGGCCGTGGCAAGATATGACATTTTCTTTTGAGTGTTGATACAGTCTAACCTCTCCTTAGGGACTCCTCTGTAATACAGACACCTCTCTATTACGGACAGTTCTTTGGTCCCAGAAAAGCCAAAAATCACACATTCCCTACCTTTATAATACGGACACCTCTGTAAAGCGGACAATATTGGTTCCGTCTCTTAGGTGTCCGTATTAAAGAGGTTTGACAGTACACTCACTCGTGAAATATTTTTGAAAATGAGAACAGAAATTATGTATCTCCAAATCATTGAATCACTTTTAAGTGAAGAAATGTTAAAACATTGCTTTGCTTCAAAAGGTACAATTTTAATGTAACCATGGTAACAGTGATCTTAAACAGTGCTATTGGCACTTGAAAAGATATCAGGTTTTTGGGCCAAAGGTCATGTGTTATTTCATTGGTTGCTTGTAAATTAACCTCTTTAAACATGCCAACAACTGCACACTGTCAAAGGGATAAGACTCCTTTGATCCACCAAACTTGAATTTTGGTTACATGGGGAAGTTCAAAACATCACTCCTCATCAACCTTTATCTGCATGTGTTTAACCATATCCCTTCCTCTAGAGATCTAAATTCTTGAGACTGTCTCTTTTGCAGTATCCTGCCCCCTCCTGTTCCCCCAAATTATAACATGGGTGTGGTACAAGACATTATACAAAGTTACTTGAAGTACAGATTGTCAAAATTCGCTTTTTGACAAATAAAGTCTGGTCGGCGATTAAACATGTGCCAAATGCAACAGAAACCATACTGTGATGGAAAAGTTTTTTTTGATTTTTTGGGGACAAAAAATAAAATGAGCTTACTTCCAACATAAAGCAAATAGAAACTCAAAATTCAGGAGATTTGGTGATCAGAAGGTCAGACGGTAGATTTGTGTTATTTCCCAGAGACCAGATACTCCAGGAGAGTTGCCATATACCATAAATACCGAAAATAAGCCCCTCCAAAATTAATATAAGCCCCCCAAACATGTAACGCAAAAAACCCTCCGTTAAATCACCCCTCTAAATATAAGCCTCCCGAGGGGCTTGTATTTGGAAATTACCCTCAAATACAAAGTAAACAAAGCAAAAACAGTAAATTTCCTTCCAAGTATAAGGTTAGCCCAATCGATTTTGAAACGCAAATCTCCCTCTGTAGATAAGCCCCTTCAAAAATAAGCCCCTCACAAAGGGCCTTTGGAAAATATAAGCCCCGGGGCTTATTTTCGGAATTTTACAGTATGTTACACCCATTGTGACATCATCACTTTTGTTAAAATCATTAGCCTGCTTAGTTGGCTTTTTTGATGAGTGCATTTTGAGGGAGGATCGAGGAAAAGAGAAATGCCCTCTTTCTGTTTTTGACTACATTGTACTGCCTGTTTTAGCTATTTGTCAACCTAATGTAGCAAAGAAACTATGGTGGAGTGACAACATTGCTTTTGATGAAACATTTTGAACTGGCTATAATGTAGATTATGTGGTAGAAATAGTTTGGCAATAAAACTTGTATGGATATAATAAATTTTATATCAAGTCAAGTACTCATAATTATTTGAAAGAGTCTATTCAGGGCAGTCATTAGGTAGGTACAAAGTACAAAACTTGGACAGGATCGCGTCATGATCATTTACATACTTATCAGACAATGTTACCCATTGTTTTCCCAGAAATTATGTAAATGAGTTGATCCTGTCTGAGTTCTGTTCCTGCTAGTGAACATTCTATACAAAAGCATTTCGCTAATTGACTCACTATTCAGTATCCTGTGGCACACAGCTGTATCATAAACAATAAGCTTTACAGGTTGCTTATATGATGGTATTGTTATAAAATGTGTTTCTCTTCAACTGATAGGTTGTGATAAGTGTTGCGGCTGTTGCTGTGGTGACATACGTCAAAGTTGCCATTGGAGGAAACATGCGTGAAAAAGGCCGCAAACATTTGCTGTGGTATGGAATAAGCACTCAAGTGGGGTCCTGTGTGGGTGCTCTTGCAATTTTTGCCCCTGTAAATGTCTATCACATGTTTAAGCAAGAATAAATGAGACTGGATGTGATTCAGTCTTCCCTCAATGGTACATGTAACTGCTGTAAAACACCTCACCATTCTTTCGTAAGATAATTTTTTAAAACTCACTTTGCTTTTTACATTCATATTATTCCTAGAAACACCCAAATCTCTAGTTTTAAAAGTTGCTAAGCTTAGTAAAAATGAAAACAGGACTGAGTAAAGTCCAATTTGGTCTGTATCTGTCAAGCAGGTGATCAAATGGAATCAGACAAATTCTTACCAAAAGACTGAATTGTTTATCACTAGATTGGTGTTAGAGAGCTTTAGATTCTAAGACGAGGATGACTACAAGAACAATATTTTCCTAAGACTAAGCAGTGTGCACATGCAAACCAAGTCATCTTGGTGGTAAAATGTGATAGCCATCGTCATTCTCCTATGAGTTCTAGCAAGAATGCTGTAGTGGTGAAAACAAGTTAACAAATGTTAGGAATTTTATCATTTAGCAACTGGGAAAGGGCTTTACCTCCTTCAATGGAAATAAGCCAACTAACTTTTGTGGTGAAAAAAGTACAATCATGCTTTCCAAGGTGTGTGTGTTTAGAGAATAGGCGAGAAAACTTAAAATTGAAATGTCATCTTCGTAGACATCCTCGAATCTAAAGCTCTCTATTATCACAGACCAGAGTGGATGACAAAAAAGTTGTGTTATCAATCATAACTGTATGATTGAATTTGTCAAGCACAAGTTAGTAACAAGGTTTGGTGTTAAGTAATGAATAGAACTGAAGTAGTCTTTGACAATTTTCTGGTTAGTCACCGCGAAATTTTGTTTCTGGCTTAAAACAGGGCTGACACTATTCTGGTTGCAGCTATACCTTGTAATTCTTTGGTGTGGGAAAAATAATAACTGTAGCCTTGGGTAACAAAAATATTTTGCGAACTCAAGCTGTCACGAAATTTATCAAACATGTTTTAAAATTATTCTTTGAAAAGTTCTTACTACTAGTGGTAATTCATTTCCAAATTATTTTACTAATACAATAAATATCACAGCCATGCTCTTGTCTGTTTAAAGAGAATTTGTACAGTTCCTTAGTTGGATTAAATTTTGTCAATTTTAATCTTCATGCTGATATTTAAAAATTGTTTTTACATATTTATTATAACATGATATAATGTAAGCTTAAAATTGTGCTGAGTAAGCTTAAAATTGTACTGATAGTACCTATAAACTGCAGGCCTCTTTTATCCTTGGACCACCAGGTGCAGCAAATTTGGGTGGGATACTCACTGGCAAAATCAATGCACTGAGGCAAGGGGAAGAACCTTCCGGAACCTTATCACTCTACTTTTTTTTAAATTAGTAAACAGGAGTGTCTGGGAGCTGTTGCCGAATTGCTTTTGATAACTGTGCCTTCAACAATTTCACCCTTAAAATATCACAACCCAATTAGCTGCCCCTGGGTCTTATCTGGTCTTGAGATTTTAGAATCGTATTCCAGGCCTCAGTTGTCAAAACTTGAGTAGTGCTATCTGCTGGATAAATCACTATCAAGCGGATAAGTATTAGGGAGGCCAATAGCATTTCAAGTGGTTAAAGTTATCCAATTTTTGAACAGCTGCGCCAGGTCATTTATAGGTAATGGAGTTTAATCTACATCTTAACATGGAGCTTTGAGGGAGTTGGTCAGTGTTGGTAGTCTGAAAGGATTAAAATTGGATTGGAAACAGTGAAAGTCATAAAATCTTATCTTTTTGTTTCGGTCTAAGCCTTGGTGATACATGAAATCAATTCTAGAGAAATAATCTAGTTACAAGCTTAAATCGCAGTAGACAGGGTTCGTAGAGTCTTGAATTCTTGAAAAAGTCTTGAAATTTTCCGAGCAATTTTCCAGACCTGGAATAAGTCTGGAAAATAGAGATGAAGTCCGGAAAAAATGGTAAAAGCTACCAAAAGTGCTTTTTTGTGTGGATTTTTTTTTTCGTTTTGATCAAACCTTATTAAATCTTGCCCGTATGTTTGCAGCCCACCAGCGTTTTTCTAAGGTCTCTGTTTATCACCTATTTGATAACCCTGACTCTGAAAAAAAATTTTTTTCTTTTGGAAAAAAGTCAAGAAAAAGTCTTGAATTTGAATCCAAAATTCTTTAGGAACCCTGAGGAGATGTTAGACAGTAATTATTAAAACGTTACTTACAGTTGTTAGTAGTCTCCTTGATTTAACATTTTTAATGTTTATCATAGGTAGTTCAACATAAGTAAAATAAAAATTGTGAACAAGGCTGAATGTTTCCATTCGTCTGAAATGTGCAAAGAAATCAAACAATTGTGGGTTGGCTTGGTGACTGAGTCCAAATGTAGTGTTTTTTGTCCTCAATTATTCCAGGTGTCCTGGAGACTGAGGGTGTGGTACCAAATAATTTTTGGACCTTTCCTTTCCTTCTGCCCCAGACCACATTTCTTATACACGGATTGTTTTCTTTTTTCTGATGATCCTTTTAATTTGAACCAGTCATGGTTATTTTTTGGGGTTCGATTCTTTAACGTTCTGTCGCCTTATGGGTAATTGTGAGAATAAACGTGTGCTTGTAGTACGTACTATGCCAAAAAGGAAGGGAGAAAAACTGGCAAGATTAAAACACGATGCAGTGGCAAATGATTTTTGTTACAAATTTTATCTGTACTGGAAATTTTCTGAATAACTTTGACCTTTAGCGGGCCTTTTCCACATTATAATTTAAAGCCTGTACCCCTACTCGCACAGCTAATCGCTGACGTGAAGCTTGCTCGACTCACTTTCGAACCGTTGAACAGGTCAGTACCTTTCTAGAGGTACTGGTCTTGTTAGAACCAAGCCAAATCTTAAATACAGTGCTAACCCCATACTATGAAATGGCATTTGGCTTGTTTCCGGGGTCTTTCTCCTTGTCGGAGTCGGAAGGTGGAAGAGCCAAGGATCGAGGAGTATATCATAGTGGGTCTGAATGGGGGTATCTTGATAACACTAAACACTATACTAAATTTTTTGGGTCTGTAACATGAAACAGTTAAACAGTAAAAAATTCACTGTAACAGTAATTTCTTTTCAGAAGGAATCAAAAGGGCTCCAAAATGGCCAATATTGTTTTGTTCCGAAAACTACGGGAGCTAGATTCTCGAAGACTGCACAACATTTCCTAAGCTAGACTACCGAAGAAGTCCGAGGAGAAATCCGAAAATTTTCGGCATTACTTTCGCTGTTATATTCATATGTGAAAGATATTTTTTCACAGTGTACAGATACGGTTTTTTCAAGACAAACTTTCAGAGCACTTAACAGTATTTTCTCCGGAAACAGTAAACATTAAAAAATTGGCCAATTTAACAGCAAGCACTAAAAATTATGGGTAAATAACACTAAACTCTAAACTATTCAGACCCTCGTCATAGGCTGTAAAGAACTAGTATTCTTAAAGCTTTCTTTCGTGCAGGGAGCACTTATCAAATTATTGAAGGCACGAAGGCAGGGTAAAGAACATGGAGCGGCAAGAGCATGGTTAAGGCTCATGTGGGACTGTTGCCAAGTACAGCTTGACTTTACTGGTCAGCTCTGTTTTCTTGTCTTTTGATTTCACAGCTACACCTCTTTTCTTCAGCCAGTCGGCGAGAGTGATGGCGTTTACTTTTTGGAGCTGTTATAAGAAGTAAATGGAATAAGCTGATCATGAGCTATCACCTAAAAAATGATGTAAACGTTGTCATGAAAGATATTGTTCATCGTGGATAATGTCTATGGTGAGGGGGTTCGGTAAGGGACCATCCCGCATTCATGGCCGGTAAGCCAGAGGCGCAATTTCCAATGGGGGGGAGTGGGGTGGTGGAGTGAGGGATATAGCCCTGCTTTCGCTGGGGAACTCAGGGGTTAAGTTCTCTGAAACGTCTTTCCTTCATTTTAAGACCTATTTTACGCAAATCGGCCTTTGTCATCTTTAGACAACATTTTATCACGTTTAATTCCAATAATTTTACTCTGTCCTCAATCTTCTCTTTCCAAAATGCGTGGCGCAGAAAACGAAAAGCTCTGTATACTTTAGTACTTTTCCATACATTCATTCATTTCCTTGTGAGAATCGGATCGGATCACAACTTGCGTATTTTTTTAAAATTACTTATTTGATTTTAGACTTCTTAACTGTGATCACGAAACTTCAGAGTCATTCAGCACAATCTCCCTACCGCTTAGTGTGTAAAATAGCCTGAGATGCTGCAAGTCAGCTGGGATTTATTGATAGAGTAACACCTAGAGACAAACACTTCCTTTACAGTACGGAAAGGCAAACTGAAGCATAGAACAAAGGCTAGGCTGAACTTGCCTACTGTTATGCGGTTATGTAAGCTTGAAAATGTACTGTACCTGGTCTTGTAACGCTAACTCCTTCACATCAATGTTGTCCTGAATTTTAGGCTTTGACTTCGGCTTCTTAGCAGGTGGTTCCTCGCGAGGAAAATCTTCCACCTTAAAAACACAGTTATTCTAAGGTCACAATTATGCATAGTTCGGTAAGTTTCCTGTTGACTAATTCCTCGGTAGTGTAGGGGCTATTCGCATGATATCGGAATAAGTTTCACTGGATTTATATATCTGCATCCATTTACATCCCGGATACCGAGTCGAAATTCCATTCCCGAACTGGTGAAGTCATTCTATTTATCAATGAGAATCAGAAATTCTCGTTATGGCATTATATTTCATTCTGGTGTGACAAAAATCGTTATTGTAGGCTGGGGCGAGTGGTGCATGCGTATCGTCTGGACGATGACGGGCACCACCTTAGGCTTAGGCTGTTGATTTTGTCATGTGAATGCTGCTTTTTGACTTCAAGTATTTTGTTAATTAAAATCACTCCTTCAATTTAATCTAACAATGAAAAAATTTTTTAAGAATTGTTAACATGGTTTTAATACCTGAAGTCCCAATGTTAAATCAAGAACAGATTGGGACTGGCCAAGAATGCGCCTTTGCTGTAGCGGCTGAATAGAGGTTGGGTGGCCTCTAACCAGTCCTGAAAAAGGCGACTCACTTACAAGAACATCACCTAAGAAGGAAGGATTAACAGTCCTGTTGTTGCTTTGCTTCGAAGGCACGTTTCCCGTAAATGAGGCTGAAAGATGATCTTTGGTAGAAGGAGCTTGTGTTATAACGAGTCCTGGTCTTTTCTGGGGTAAACACTTTGAAACTGGCACTGGAGTGCTAGCGCTGTATGTCACATCAGCATTATTGATGTGAACCGCAGCAGGCAAAATCGCCACGTTTGGCTCAGTGGACAATTCCCTGTTAAAGTTTGACGAAATACCATGGCTTTCACTCAGACCGATGTCTTGTCCCATCAAAATGCTTCTGTGGTTTTGAGTGCTCCTTTGCTGAGATTGTTTGTGTAAATTACTTACGTTTTCCCCTGTGACCGGTCTTATTACGCTAGGAGGAGGTAGTGACGAAGACAAAGATGAAGCTCCCTCTGATTGCACAGTTTTACCAAGGGCACAAACTCTAGACGTAGCCGTTTTGGCTCTCTTTGTTGAATCGTTTCCACAAGACTGCACTCTCTTCTTCGAAAACGTTGGGACAATTCTTGTGGCAGGCGTGGATGAAGAAGTAGAGTTACATGTGGCTGACCTGCTATGTTCAGTGTTAAGCACATGCTTACTAGTGAATCGAGGAACAAAAGGAGTTTCTGAAGAGAGGTAAGAAGGTACCGGGGAAATATGAGCAGTGACCCTCAAGCTCGTTGGATTAAAAGAGGGTATTATCCGGCGATTAACAATACCATCGCTGGTCGCGGTTTGATGAATTTCGGAAGATGCTGCTCGAGATGAAAACGGCGACGCCGAGATGGCTTGCCTCGTCAGTTCACATGCAGGCTGTTGTTGAACGGTGAAAGGTCTACAGTGGTTCATGTGAGGCGCTGTCCTTGTTAGGTTACTGTGGTTTGGAGAGGTTACCTGTTGAAGTCTACATGTTGGGTAGAGAGGTGCAGACGTCAGCGCTAGGGGTGTAGCACAGATGAAAGGCATTCGGGAAGACAAGTCTCTCAGAAAAGTGGTAAAAATCAGCTGATGATCGCAGCGAGGCGATGCTATGGCTTGACTGCTGCGGATACAACTAGCTGGGTATCTGATCGCTTTTGGTAAAGAAATTAAACATAACTGATATCGTATTCAACAGGGCTGTCACTGAGGGCCGAGGATTTCCCCCGGCTAATAACGGCCTTCAGCCCCGGCTACTTTAAAATGAGACAAAGGTAGACTAGACCCAAAAGAACCTCCTAGCTGCTCAATTTCCCTCCTACTTATATACGCGGCAACTCGAAATCTTAGCAACAGCCCTGATTGAAAAAATACAGTCACATCTTGCTATCTTAGATATGAATATAATGACTCTTCTGTAAGATGGATGTGGTGTCTAAATGTCACCTGTTGTTTCCTGGGTTGATAAAAGTGCACTTTCAACATAGACAGCCTAGAAAAGCTTTTCGAAACAGCATAACAAAGAAGTTTCGTGTTTGATTTGATTTTTGCGTCGCCAGTCATTGCTATTAAGTGAAAGTATTTTCATGTGAATGGCAAGAGAGATTACTTAAGTTCTGCTTTTGTGACCCTCATTCAACTGACGTCAGCGCATTGTCGATATAAACAGGCCCATCTAAAGGATACGTAAATATTCTCCCACGGATATAATAGAAATGTACGTTGTAAAAAACATTTTCCTCAGCCGGTAGTCTGTATCCATACTGCGTAAAAAGAAAAGTAACAACGACAAATAAAAATGAAGCTACCAGAAGTCACCTGCCACCATTTTTCAACACAAAAAGGGAGTTCTAAGAACCTCAAAGGTACACCTACCATAAGCTTCCAGTGTTTTCGTAAGTCTTCATAACTAGCAAACGGGCATTCCTCAGGAAGGTTATGCGTTATACTGAAGATTCTCCCTTTTTTCAAGCTAAAATAGCAAAAAAAGTTTGGTTAAACGAGCTTTAAGATCCTCTTATTACAAATCAAACACAACTGGGCATTGATGTTAACTTTTCATGATTTTTATTGCTTGGATAACGGTAAACACGAAGAAAATGAAAATTTTCGTCGTTAGAGTCTTGATGATTGGTCTAGAAACTAGTAATACTGCATATACTAATTGGATGTAATATATTAAAAACCTATTTCTGAGAAAGCAGCCGACTCGTTTGAATATCTATGATAATAGTTTGTCAACTTTTTGTTGTAAGACCTGTCAAACCACCACCAGAAAGTCAAGACTCAGTTATTTATGGCAATTTGTATTCTTTTACCCTTGGCGACTCACATGGATATTTTTTCAAAAAAATTTTAATTAAATGAGTTTTAAAATTTATTGGTGCGCTCCTTACCTCGGCAACACAAAACATAAATCATCGGAAATAGCTGCATCAGTGATCACAGCTTTCTCGTTGATGTTAAATTCCTCTAATGCTCTTGTCGAAGCAGTGAAATGTTCTGGCTGAAGAAGTAAAAACAGGCAGTTTACCGTATTCACAAATCATTAATCTCAGTAAATTTCCTTCTATTCTCTTACTTTGCCCTCTCCACCCAGGCCAACGTAGCTACAATCATGGACAAAAGTCTTGGGACACTTTTGCATTTCTGGGGGGTTTTCTAATGCCCAACCCCTCCCTTCACCCCACAAACAAAGTTGGACGCGTGCATACAGAACTTATATAGGGTGGGGGGAGGGAGAACTGCAAGACAATTTCGAAAAGGATCACTGTTTTATGAGGGAAATTAAAGAAAATTATGAATACTGCACTGTCCCAAGGACCTTTGTCCACGATTGTAGTTAATCCCCAACCCTATTACTAAAGCTTTCACGTAATCCTAGCTAGATTTATGGATGCCCATTATTCTAAAGTTCAAAATGTCCCTGGAAAGAATTTTTTGGGCTTGAGCAAAGCACAATTTAATGCTTTTGAAAGGTTTTCCACCCAAGACAATATAGTCATCCCCGAAAACTCTCACTTTCCGTTGCCAGTTTTCATGACATAAATAGTTCGAAACAATAAATCTTGGTCACGCTTCCCTCAGACCGGCCATTTTTAAATTTGGCCTTAGTCAACTCGTCTCAATTTGAAAACAGCACCTACACTGTTTCAAATTATATTACCATGCAGGGGCTTGACTTTAAAGAATAAGCCTGTAATCCAATACTGATCTTGTCACTAATTGTTACTTCCAAGGCTGCATAAAAACGCATACAAGAAATTAGACTCTGTAGTGGGCATCACAAAGGGAAGGGAATGGACTATTGTGTTCTCAGATGCTCATTGAAAAACAGGCAGAAACTGTTCCACAAGGCTGATTTCTCAGCTAGACAAGGAATAATACAGAGCTTTAGATTCTAAGACCAGGACGACTACGAGAACGAAATTTTCTCAATACTAAGCAGGGCGGATAAATGTTAGGCAACCTTTATCCCCCTGATACTAAATAGTGTCCACCTTTATCCGCCCTGATACTAAGTAGTGTGCGCGCGCGAACCAACGTCATTTTGGTGGGAAAATGTTATAGCCATCGTCTTTCTAGTACAGGCTTTAGCGGGAATGTCTTAGTGGCGATAACAAGTTATCAAATGTTAGGAATTTTATCATTTAGCGATCGGGAGAGAGTTTTATCTCCTTCAACACCAATAAGAGTACTAACTTTTGTGGTGAAAAAAGCACAGGAAGTTTTTCGTGGTGTCTGTTTTTAGAGAATAGGCGAGAAAACTTAATCATTCACCCTAACTATGAGTTTTACTTACAAACTGCATTCAGTTTCGTTTTTTCCAGCATGAAGTCACGACCTACAAAGAAATATGAAACACTGGACATAACTTAAGAGTCTGCCAATAATAGTATTCTAGATTCATCAATGCGAAGGAAGAGGGCATTTCAGTTGTTCAACTGAAATTTATCTCTTACGTTTCCTCTTAAGAGTTTAAATCAGCATTGATCGGAGGATAACTTCCGTTACTTTTTAGTGCTCCTTTTTCTGGGTTAATAAAGATATTGAATGTCCATCAATTACCTTGTACAAAGAACTCTCCAGCCTTGTTCCATAGTGGTGCGAGCTTCTGTTTCATTGTGAACGAAAAACAAAACTGAAACAAGCCTTTGGTCAGATCTACTCGCTCTGTTTCCTGGTAAAGAAAAAAAAAAGATGAACAACAGAAAATTTTACATCTGAGCGTGGGTCTTGTGTAATGATATAATCAAGCTTTAAACGAATCTGATTACTAGTTGATAGCAGTACCTCACATTCTACAGATTGTGGTAGTTCTACACGCAACTACCAAATGTATACATGTGTATTTCAGTGTTGAACATCTAGTCAGTCCTCATTTCATTCAAAACTATTCGAAGGGTCGTATTTCATATACTAAACCTACTTAAGCTTATTGAGAACATGGACAACTTGGATGGAAAAATAAGAGTGAGGTAAGCTTATTTTAAAATCCACTTCGAAACTTCGAATTCAGTTTAAAGCTTAAGCTTACCTTTATTTTTAGCCTTTGTAACAGCTCTTGAAATTCAGAGGAATGAAAAATCATCTCCTAAGAGAAATAGAAAAGTAAGGTTCAATAATAAGCTTAAGATAAAGTAAGCCCATAAAAAAAGGTTTTCTGATATTTCTTCATTTGGTAAGTCCATTACCTTAACACAGCTCAACATCATAGTAGGCATATTAACAGGGACCGCGGAGGGGGAGGGGCTGGTAGGGCCGCGGCCCTACCACTTTTTTGCGTCCCCGCCCCCACTTTTTGCGCTAAAAAGAAAAATGATTAAAATAAAAAAAAGACTTGAAACAAGTTTTTTCCGTCTATATTCCGCTATATTCTCTGTATTTTCTTTAATTTCAAACGCCAGGCATTTTGTGGGGCTCCTGTGCTTTTCGCGGTAATTGCGCCCTGGGGCCGACTTGCCCCTTGATCAAACGCCATGCCTTGGCCACCCCTTCGCTTTGTTCGGCAGCGTGTTTTGTACTTCCAGCTCCGGCAGAGTTTTTTATCAGTTTTATCAAACGAAACGAAGAAAATTACTAGCTTTTTCAAGCCAAACGAAGGGGAGTAGTTGTTTTGAGTTGATTAAAGTTTTATATTTTGTCTTTCTCCTTTCGAATCAATGAAAGATTCGATGGCAAGAAGAATTACATTACTTGAACAGTGAACGACCATAGTTAGAAATTTTTCAGATCACTTCAGTACAGTATTTTCTATACTAAAATTGTAATCGCGTCTTTTCTTGCATTGAATCTCAACTGACCGTGTATGTTGGTCGTTTATTAGAGTTGTCTGGGACTTCGTCAAAGTCTGTAAGCTCTGCAGAAAAGACGACAACTACTTGCAGTGAAAATGGTGAGTTCGAGTTTGACCAGTAAACATTTCAATATATTGAAAAAATATTGATAAAGTATGCAAAGTCACGCCATAGAAACAAATCAAATACTATGATTTTATCCCTTTTTTCGATTTTCAATATGAAAAAATTATTTTCAATTGTCAGCCCTCCCACTTTTCACCTTGCTCCGCGGTCCCTGATTAAAAGTTATATTTACAACGTTGGCAAATTTCAGCATATTTGACTTTTAGTTGCACCTGTGTTATGAGGAACAGCTTATTCCTGTCATCTAACAGTGGAGACAACAGAACTTTGGGCTCTGTGAAGATGATCTCCCTGCAAAAAATAAGACTTAAAGTCTTATTATTAAAATAAACTTCACCATCGGTTCCAGAATTTATTGCAAATTTATCCAGATTTCGGTTTAAACATCAACAGTCAAGACCAGTTTAAAGAAATACCTGCAACATTTTGGCTGAATAGCGCTTATTTCATCGTCTTTTTCCGCTCGTATGACAGCCTCAACAGCGATCAGTTCCTCAAGGTTTGGCAGAGGAGCAAAAAACAGACCGGAGAAGCCATCTTGGTTCCTCATCTTCGAAGTCTAGCAATACAGTTGTTATCAAAGATTCTACGAGAACGCACCAAGTCTACTTCACAATTTTGTGAATTCAATAGCCTCAAAGAGAAAAGACTAAAACTCGAATATTGCTCTCGAAACGTGAAACTTTTACGCATATATTTTGTGAGAGGAAAACGGAAAAGAAGTCAACGACGGAAAGCCCTGCGTCTGCGTGATTGTTCCAGCGCTAACGTTTTGGCGGGAAATAATTCGCGCCCCTTTTGCATTCGCGTTATTCATTCGCGCGCTTCGTTCTCGTTCAAAGAGAGCGTAGGTCGGTGGGGTTCTTCTGTTTTAGGGGGAGGAGGGCGGAATAGAGAGGTCCTTTTTCGTGATCTTATTTTGTAATTATTGAACGTAAAAGATTGGAATCGCGGTGCGACCAAATCAAGACCAGAGTCAGAAGTCCAAGCCTATGCCTTCCATTCTTCCGGAACAAGAGGTCAGAGATCAGTGGGAGTAACCAAATACGAAATGGTGGGCATAGTCAAACACTGTTAAAAAATTCCACCCCTAACGAAACCTTGTAATATTTCTCCACCGAAATTTAGATTACTGAGGGAGTGAACGGAGAATTACTGAAGTCTGAGCGCAAGTTTTGGTCGGGTAAGAGAAGCCCCTCCAGATTCCAGAGATGGACCACTTTTCGGGGTACAGTAAAAACCCACATATAAGAACCTACAGGCTGAAATTTGGCATTTAAATACTCAAAATATAAGAAACTGTTCATCCTAGCAAAGAAAAATAGGTTGTTTTACAAAAAAATCACGTCAATTTTGATAGTCAGTTAAACTGATTGTGTGAGAAAATTCTGATAAAAAGTTAATAGGGCCATTTATACGAGGAAAAATAAGACGCGTCTTAAATAAGACGCGAACTTTCCGTATAAACGGCACATTTCGTCTAAAATAAGACGCGGCTTAGCTAAGACGCGTCTTATTAGATAAGACATGCTCGTATAAATGGTACAGTTCGCGTCTTATTTAAGACGCGTCTTATTTTTCCTCGTATAAATGACCCTATTGTGTATACGTTTTCTTTGATTTACATTTATTTGGATTTTCACTAGAAATATGTTTTCCATAACCATTATGAATTAGTAGTACAATATCTCTACCAATGGTTACACTAGACAACCTCTGTAAAATAAGAACTATTAAGAACCAAATCAGCTTAAACTGTGAAAAACTACCCTAAAATATAAGAACCTGTTCAGCCTGACCTCGAATATTCCAGGTACTTATATACGGGTTTTTACTGTATTTACAATCTTGTCTGCGAGATTCGACAGGAATGCTGCCTACTTAGTATCTCTTGAAATTCCACCTGCAGTATAAAGCTTATTTACCCTAGTATAAGAATAGCCACAAAGACATTGAGGATAACAGTATATCAATACTTTGCCGCCACCAACACCTCAAGACAGGATGTAGAGGGCCGAACTGGCACGTAATGAAACTTCGTGCGTGAGGAGTTGGAAAGAAAAAACAAACAAACAAAAAACTACTTTTTGTCTCCACCATGCTAACAAGTCGTACATTTATGGGGAAAAAGCACTTGAGTCTATGAATGATGGCAGATTTAATTTTACTTGATTATTTCTCGACAATGCCAGCTTGTAAGTTTTAACAGCAGTCAAAATCAAGTAAATTATTAAGACTTTTCTTCTGGTTACTATTTTATCTACTAATTACAGGCATCAATATAGTTAGTAACATACATATTCTCGAAATAAAAAAACCTTTCTTATTGTCTATTAATCCCGTAAGGTTACCACATGTTCTTAAATAAACTATGACTCTTTTGACGAAGATAAAAGCCACGAAATCCTGAAGAATGAAAAAATAACTAACTTCAAACTCAAAAAGCTGCTATAAAGTGACCTCGCAATGTAAAAAGCTTGCTACGCTCAACACACGCCGCAGCAAGTCTCTCTTTTATAACATCATTAAATAAACAGCAAATATGGAGCCTCAATGCTAAATCTCAACTCTACCTGGTTCGCCTGCGCCCCAAGCAAAACTTAACCACAGGCCTACCAAGCTCACTACGAGAGTTTTTAAGTCATTAATACGCGTGGTATCCTCAAAATGGTCGTAAACCTAAAGGTCAAAAAGGATTTGTATGGGAATTGAGGTAATGGCTTTGCGCCTTGATTAGCCTAGGTAAAGCATTTCTTATTGAAAATTCCCGCGAGCCTTCATCTTCTTGAATCTATAAACTGAATTCCCATACAAATCCTTTATGTTCACGGCCATTTGAGGATTACACAATATGGTACCACACGTATTAATGATAAACTCTCACCTTAAAGTTGGTTGGCATGTGCTTTGACAAGCAGCGGCTTCTTACAACCAAAGTAGTAAATTATACATAAAAATCTCATTGTACGGCAAAAACCTTCCGCAGGTTCATTGGCACTAAGCATTAGGTTGCCTACTTACCAAACACTGAACGATGAACCTCCAGCAAGAGAAAGGCCAAATAATAGGTGCCTCTCTAAGGCCCAGTGGGTTAGGCACAAGCCAATCAAGATATCGCTTTTCGGGGCAATGCCTGTATCTACTGACGTGGGTCATGTACGGGCAAGTATAAGTCGATGTCTAATTGGCTGCTGCTTAACACTTTTGGGACGTCTGGGGTTTGGTGTAATATGACAACACGAGACAGAGTGTTCCATCACGTATCAAACACTGAGAAAAGAGATAAAACACAACGCACAGCGGAGCATTTTTGACAAAATTCGAGGTGATGGATGTTATGATGAAACACCGTTTGAGTGTTTGATATAATTTTAAAAGAAAATAATTTTGAGGAAGAAATTAAGTGTGCAAATGTTTTTCAGCAGACACCCGAACACGTCAGGGTCAGAGAGGAGTCCCTTGTCCCTCTCTTGTCGCATTGCATGCTTTCCTTTGAAATACATTTGATTATGAGCGGCATTAAAGGGGCTGTGTCACGGTGTCCAGTCCATTTTGTTTAACTTTGCCAATTACTCGCCCTCAATCGCTATGGAACTTAAAGCAAGCAAAGAAATTACATGTAAATGACAAAATCAGAGATCCAAGACAAACAAATATGTCTCCCGCGCATTATTTTTGAAGTTGCTAGCGGCAGAGATCAACTTTGAAAAACTGTTAGGCTGAACAACAGTTTTCAAAAAACCTAATTTCAATCCAATTCAATCTTCTTCAGTTTTGCCCATCCGTGGAATCTGTTGTTTCTGTTGTGTTATTTTAACCTTCCTAATGTTTTAAGTGGTTATTTTTATGTTTCTCTTAATTTAACGGGCGTTTTGTAATTACCTAATTTGTCTGAATTTTGTGACACAGCTCCTTCAATCTAAATTTGTTAGGTAGCTATCACATGGTCAAAAAATTGTGTCTCTCTCCAACCAATAGTTTCAAGCCAGTACTTACCCAAAACAAGCAAAATCATCAAGAATTACCGTTACTCTCCCTCTTAATCATGTTTAAGAAAATACTATAGTTTTGTAACATGTCAAGCTCGTCCCCAGGGCCTTTCCCTGGGGACAAGGTTGGCAAAATATATGTTTGATATGCTTTTTAACCTTCTCCACTCTCCCTTGCTTCAAGGTCATAGTATCAGACTGCTACAAACAAAAGCACTCTAAAAAGCCGTACACAAAAGCCAATGAAGTAACTAATGTTTAGACATTAAAATGATAAAAAATCGGTTTATCTCTATATGTCATCCGTTTGACTTATGCTTTCCAAAAATAACGGAATTTTACTTTATGTTAACTTTATGACGTCTTTTGGTAATCTCACAGACTAAACTACTTAAAATGGAAGCATTCAACTACGATTCAACTATTACTAAGATTTTTCAAAACGTTCAACTTCCGGTTAACAACTGGCAGTCAATTATTAATCTGAGATCAGTAAACTTCTTTTCAAACAGTTGACAACATTTTGAATACTTACAGTCATGTTATAGTATTTCACAGTAAACTGTAATATTTCTATTTTCTAATTCTAACCGGCCATTTTCGGCACGTGCAAAAGACAGAATTCAGCTTACTACCAAAGCCAAATTGTTAAAAAAAATGCAGACATTCTCTTGGCTGGTCACGCACTTCTATTTGCGTGACGCGTTCCTTCTCCACGAAGGGTAGGATTGCGTGATCAGCCAAAACAAAGTCTGCTTGGGAGGTTGACATTGCCTGTACTCTGTGGCTGTAACATCTTATTTAAATCAACTGTAGCTCACTATTTCCATAATAAGGGGAAAATGATCCAGTTGACAACATCAAGACACCAATCGCCTTATTTCCCACACAGAAACTTTTCCAAGCTAAGAGGCAACTGGTACCACGAAAGTAGTCAAATCGATAGAAACATTTAGATTCTAAGACGAGAACGACCACGAGAACGAGATTTTCGCAATACTAAGTAGTGCTCGCGCGTGTGAACAAGCTTCATTTTGGCGGAAAAACGTGATAGCCGTCGCATTCTACGACGAGTTTTAGCGAGAATGTCGTGGTAGCGGAAACAAGTCATCAAATCATTTTGCAATCGGGAGAGGGCTTAACTTCCTTCCATAAAGATAACAGTCCTAACCTATCTGGTAAATCAAAAGTACAATGAAGCTTTCCGGGGTGTCTATATTTTGAGAATACGCGAAAAAATGTTCCGTCAAATCTCGTACTCGTAGTCGTACTCTTTCTCGAACCTAAAGTCTCTAATTGCTTTCGTTTGTCGACAAAAATGAACTATCAAGCTATACACAAAACCTACAACCCCCTTGAGTACATAGCATCTCCTTACTTCCTGCCATTCTTAAAATCGCGGGTTTGAGTTGTGATGAGATCCATGTCCTGTTGTGTAGTGGGGAGGCACTTGCAAATGACCTGGTAGGATTTGCTGACCGTGCTTGCGAAAACCTGCTTGAACCGGTTGAAATGCTGACTGCCCACCTATCATACCACGGTTTCTCTGTAAACCACCAGGCATTCCATACTGCATGTTATCAAATGCTCGCTGACGTTGCAAGGTGGACTGGTACCGAGCATAAGCAGGGTGTGGGTATCCTGTGGGAGCTGCAGACCTACCATGGCCTGGCCACCAGTTCTCCCTCGGAAGAAAAGGATCACTGTAGTGTTGCGGTGGGAGGGGGGCTCGGTGATGAGATGGCCTCAAGGTGTCTTCTGTTAAAGATGTGGTCTTGGCCCACAGTGGGGGTGGAGAAGAGTCTCGCGCTGACCAAGGAATCTAAAAACAACCACAGGAAACAAAAGTATCTATATTATTTCGTCCTTAACAACAAAATGGACACCCTATAAGGTTTACATGACAACGGATTATTCGCTATTCGCTTAACACTGCAGGTACAGCACCCCACTTACCTTGATGAATTGCTGGAAAAAAAATTAAGCTAGGTTCAATTGCTCTATTGACGTCAGAGAAGATAAAGAAAACCATAGTTAATTAAGTGGAATGGTTATGAAACCCGTCAGACTCCTTTGTTATATGTTTTTGTGGACCTGAAAGTGCACAACATTCAAAAGAATTCCTATCATTTTGATTGTATTGACCAATAAAAACGTTGCATTAATTCATTCCGTGACAATTTGCCAACAGAAAACAAAGGATTGTGCACTTTCAGGGTGCTTCCAACATAAACTGCAGCACTGTTGTTTTTATCATTGATGTTTGCCGCTTTTTATATCCAGTCTCCTCTAATAACTATGAGAAAACAAAACCCACAAATACCTCGTAGTCTAATATATGAAAGTTCTTCAACCAGTCAGGGGTAAGTAAAATAAATAAAATAATAAAATAAATAGATAATGATTCGGAGGTAGCACATCCACAAAGTGGTTCTTCGTCTACCTGATTCCTGGTCGAATTGGAATTTGGAAATGTTGGTTTTTGAGGAAAGGGGAAACCTGGAGTATCCGGAGAAAAACCTCTCGGAGCAAAGGAGAGAATCAACAACAAACTACGGGTAAGTACGTGCAATGACAACATAGTGAGGTATTTGATAAATCATATGACAAAACACTGATCAGAAAACTTTGCATGACATCTCGGAACAACAGTTACAGGGGCTGTGTCACAGCTGTCTAGTTCACTTTTGTATATAATGCCAATTACGCATCCTTATTCGCTGTGGAACTTGAGATATTACTTGTGAATGACAATATTAGATCGCAATCCGTTTCAATCTTCCACAAGTTCAGACCATCCATGCCTCCTCTTGTATTTGCTGTATTATTTGTACCTTCGTTTAATGTTTTCAGCAGTTATTTTTAAGTTTTACTCAGTTTGGTGGCAGTTCTCACTTTTTGAATATGAACAAATTTCGTGACACAACTCCTTTACGTTTTTCCTTCAAATCAATGATCAGACAAATTCCCTTTCAAAACCTATTACCTTTTGCGCAAGGTCCTCAGTACTCCAAGGTTTTCCAACAGTTGGCGTGGAAGGAAAATGTCCACTGTGTACTGCATCACAGCTTAAAAACAAACCAAAGATTTTTATTAGCAAGCTTGATTCTTTCATGAAGCCAAAAACTTGGTCATGACAAGCATTATCTAGAGTAAGAGATATTCTAATAATATCCGGGGGGGGGGGGGGGGGTTGAATATATACTACTGGGATGTTTTTTTTTGTCGGCGAGGAGGGTTCTCAACAGTGGGGGGGAGGAGGGGTACGGTGTGGGGAAGGGTGAGAGCTGGGTGGGGGCACAGTTCTTAAAAAAAAAAAAACATTTTTTGGTATTGGAGGGGTCAGAAGGCAGCGAGTGAGGGGGTGTTGTTTGGGTGGCGATGTGTGTTCTCCTAATTTTGTTTATATTATCTAGTTCTACTTGCTTTCAGTAAGAGACAAGAAGGAGTTACGACTATTAGCAAAAAAATAAGAGGAAAGTGATGTAAGGGGGGGGGGGGGGGGGGGGGGGCTTGTAATCGTTATAATCGGATGTATTTTTTTGTCTGCGCGTAGATGGTTCTACAACTGGAAGGGTTTATAAGCTGGGAGGGGAGGGGGTAATATAGCAGTTTACGATAATTTAGGCATAGCTATGTTATGTACCTTCCTCCTCTAGCAGCAGCAAGCATATCAGGTCCAGTGATACCCAGTCCTAATGAGAACACAGTCTTGCCCCTGCCTGATCCGTCCTTGTTGAGAGACTCATGAGACTGGTTCCAATTGCCTCCTTGGCCCTGCAAATCAGACAACGCAATTTTCTTTAAGAATCCGGTGTAGGGAGCCTATGTGTTAGCCTGAGAAAACAGCCGACATTTCGCGACGCCACCAGTGGTTTCCCCGCGAAATGACCGCTGAGGAACAAGCGCAGAAATTCCATACTGATGACGCGTCACTATCCAGATCTGGGTAGTGCTTCTGATTGGTTGAATCGAATTTCCCACGCGGCACGACCAAATCAGAAGCACGACCCAGATCTGGGTAGTGACGCGTCATCAGTATGGAATTCCTGCGCTCGTTTCTCAGACGTCATTTGGCTGGGAAACCAGTGGTAGCGTCGCCAAATGTCGGCAATTACCAATAATATGCGCACGATATAAGCACTGCATTGCATGCCATGCGAAACAAATTTAACCCATTAGCCCCTGGAAATTTTGCTGAAGACGCGTTTTGAAGCTAGATGAGCGGTTTTCTGATCATTGTCGTGCTATAAAGAGCCACAACGTACCACAAAGTCGTTTACAGGTCGTTAACTCCGCAGCCGTTTGATCTACAAAATGCAAAATCTTAGCTTGCGTAGTTCGGGCATGCGCAGAAAGCAAAATTTCTGTTTGATTCATTGACTTTTACTTTTCGCTTTTCTTGCCGCATTTTTTTCTTTTGCTGAGGATTTAGTACGCTTCATTTTGGTGAGAAAAGTTTTGGAGAACGCTCTCAGAATCTTAGGATTAGAGGAAAGAAAAGGTAGGTGGGTACACTACTGGAACAAGATTTCAAGGAAATTTTCCGGTCAATGTTACATGGTTTTTCGCCTTTTTCTTCGGTGTCCTTGATTGAATCGTGCTTATCCTGGTATGGTTTGAAAGATCTCTTCACTCTGCACAAGTTGGCGGATAAAGTTTTCCTTGACCATTAAAACTGTTGACGTCACAAGCGGTAGAGGGGAAGTGAGTCCGTACGGACGGTTACGGGCGGCTCAGCACTTCCCGCTGTTTGAATTTTAAAAACGTTTGTGAAACAGCCTCTTCAAGTCATTACCCCTAGGAGTATTGGAGCAGGACATTTTCCCCCCAGTTAACACAGACAAGAGGACTTAAGATTCTGAGACGAGGACGACTACGAGTACGAGATTTTCTCAATACTGAGTATTGCTCACGCGTGAACCAGCTTCATTTTGGCGGGAAAACGTGATAGCCGTCGTCATTTTACTACGAGTTTTAGGAAGAATGTCATACTGGCGGGAACAAATGTAAGCAGTTTTATCATTTTGCTATCGGGAGAGGACTTAACCTCCTTCAGAATCAATAACCGTACTAACTATTTTGGTGAAAAAAAAAAAGGAAAAAATAAAAAAGAAGCTTTCCGGGGTGTTTTTTTTTAGAACACTCGCAAAAACTTTCAGTTAAATCTCGTACTCGAACTCGTTCTTGCCCTCAAATCTAAGGAGCTCTATCGACTAGCAGCTGTACAACCATTATCATTACTGCAGTAAAATAAAATTATAACACAGCAAAGTTCTTACACTGGGAAAATTGGCCCACACAGGGTTGCCATGGATACTGCTACCATAACTTGGCCACTTTAATCCAAGGTCAAGAAGCCCTGGGCCTGAATTACTTGGTAGTAAGCTTTCATTCAGACTCTTAGCATCTTCATCGGCTTCTTCATTTTTGTCGCTACCAGGGAAATCCGACAGGGACCAACAGCTGTGGTAAAGAGTGTCCTGGGAGCCATGAATGTCTTTTTTGCGGAGTGACGAGCCTTCTGAATTGCTGTTACCAGGATCAGAAGCATCTACAGGGACGCTGGTTTTCTCCCACACATTCCTTTTAGAACAAAATTGTTTTGGTAATTAGCAGTTTAACTGTAGCAATTGATTACTGGGTGCAGTGACTTGAGTTGTGCCATCTTAAATGCTTTTTCTTTAATATTATACAGCTGCACTAACATGAATGTTTTTTTTAAAAATCAGTGGGGACCTATGAAAATAACATGGCGATAGCAATGAGAAGGTCAAACAAACAATTGGTTTAGTACAGGGATCGTACCCTTTTTTGAACAAAAAATTCCAAGACTTTTCAAGAACTTTCAAGGACACATCTCCCATATTTTTCTCCATTCAGTGCAAAAAAGAGCCTTGAGTCTATGTCCTTTTTAGTTCTTCCACAACACCAGCAATTTTATCCTGAACTTCTTTCTGTGTTTGCTCCTTTTCCTTTGGGTTGGATAAAGTTAGCACCGAAATTCAAGGACTTCCAGCAACAACTGCAATTTTCAAGGGCTTTCAAGGCCTTGAATTTTCATTTTAAAATTCAAGAACTTTCAAAGTGTGGCGAACCCTGTTAGTATGCAAAACAGCAACTCTGAATGCGCAACACACTTTCCTGTAAATTCATGTCCGCCTTACCTAAGGCTTTCACTAATGGAAATTTTGCCATCAGTGCCTTCTTCTGAGCTGACTGTGACAAGCACAGGGCTGGTTGTTTTATTTGGGTTGGTCTGCTTATCATCAACTCTTAACTTTGCTGTTTCTTTCTCTGGTACATTCTCGGGAATCACGTCACTACCACTAGTTGCACCATCCTTCACTTGTATCAAAGATGATGGTGGTGATTCTTGAAGAATAGCATCCTTGTCTTTCTCATCACTATCACGATCGGTTTTACTTTCGTCACCTCCGTTAACTTTATCTTCTGGCAGAGGTTGGTTGTCTTGTTTCTCAGCAGATGCTGCTGGTGTCTCTGTGCATAGCTCTTTCTCATCAGTGTCAGCAGGTTTAACAAAGAAAGTGGGGCTCACTTCAGTTGTTGGAGAAGTCTGTGTCTCTATGGTAACCATGTGGGTTTTTGGTAGTTTGAATTCTTTAGAAGAATCTTCTGCAGTGTTAACAGCAACTGGAGGGTTTTCTGTGGTTTCGGAAGAGCTAGTTGATGGCATCACTTCTTGATTATCCTTAGCACTGTCGTCAACCTTGTCACATACTTGCGTCAGAGCACTGCTAGGTTGTGTGACATTGCTCATAGCCATACTATAAATACTCCCAAGGCCACTATCAATAGGAGTCATGTGACTTTCTGCCATGCTGGGATTGACATCATCTTCGTTCAATAGCCGCAACTTGATGGGTGCACCAGAAAGGAAGTTAATAACCTCTGTGAGTTCCTCTTGAGAAGCAAGTGACAGCTCACTTTGACAAACTGAGGAAAAATAAAATTAGAGTGACAACTTCAAAATTTATTGAATGAGACGAATACACTTCTTTAAGCAGGACTGTTTATCCTGTTCCCAAGAGAAAAGTTGTGTTTGACTTTGCGTCACTTGCATTGGTCAGCTTGTTAATGACAACTCTCCTACTCTACAGGCTTGCTAAAGTGGCAGATCCTGCGTTTAGGTAAGGGTGATGTTAGCATTCCTAAAATTGGCTGTGATTATCATACAAAAAACAGGAATTATCTAGTGTACATTTTAAGAATTAATAAGTTCTCTTGTCACATATTACTTACTTTGCATGGTTGGTTTAAAAGTTGGCAGAGGAAACTGAGGCACAGATCTAGACCAGTCACTGGGTGATGGTGGGTCGTCAGTTTTAGTCTGCTCTTCCACCACCTTACTTGAGCTAGAGGTATTGTTATCTGGTGCCATAGACTGTTCCTTTGCTTTTTTGGCCCAGCGCCTTGGGCGTGGTGGAGGAAGGGGCGTAGGGTCATCAATGTCAGTGTCATGATCATCACCTGTATCGGTGCTGGAGGCTACAGATGTGCGATTACCTGGGGAATAAAATATTAATGATTTTAATTGCAATGAATGTAAGGTACGCAGTCATTTTGCATATCAGTCACAGGTACCAACAAACCAACACAAGCCTACAAATACAGCCACAGGTAACCCACATAGCAATAACCTATTTGTTTCATCACCACTTATCTGCACAGCCCACATCCATCACATTATCACCAACCACCCACAGTCACTAGCAACCTATGAAGACACTTGCAGCCTACAGAGCCACACGCTTTACCCTGCAAAGGGAGTCAAAGGCAGCCCACACAGGTAAAGCAAAATGCACACCATGTGGCTAGATGTTCTAGAAGTCCTTCATTTTTTTTCCTGGTTGGTTACATACCTGTTTGTGCGAAATTCATCAGTCAAAAATTCTATTAGTTACGTCATGGCAATTGACCAATAGGACAGTGAGTGATATTTCATGCCGCTCCTGACACAGCAATATGTCAATCATTATTTTTCCCGTGTGAATTTATAATATGATTCAAATCCATTCAGGTGAAACAAGTTGACCTCGGGACTTCTTCGGTCATTTGGTTGCTCTGCGACCTCATGCATTGAAGCTCGCCTTACTCACTTTTAAGAACTTATGAGAGATCGACCATGTGGCATTAAACAAGCGCTAGTGTCAAAAAATGAAAGGCCTGCACTTGACACCAACTCACAAAAAATTAAAGGTTCGCCTGTATCAAGTCATAGCTGACTCAAATTAAGAAACCACGCCTCAACTACCACTAAATGCCACTATAAACAACCCAAGATTAACAAATTCTCTAGACTGATCTGCATACATTTACATACAGAATGAGTTACAAGAATTTTATAAAAGATCAAAGCATTTTCCCTTTGGTGATTATTTTATTGATTCTAATTTCCTACTCTTGATTATCATTGAAGGGATTAAAGATCAAAGGGTTTACTCAGAATGAACTTTCCCTAACAGGAAACTTACACTGCTCACCTTTCACACACAATTTCTACCACAACAATGCCGCAAAGGCAATTTGGTAAGTCAGGGCAAGTGAAAAAGTAATATGGTGAAGAAACAGGACTCTAAAACTACAAAATCACACAAGTACCTGATGATTCATTTCTTGTTCCTGTTCCAGAAACAGCATTTTGACTGGCTGGATCAGCTACAGCATTTGAGTTATTAGCTGCTTTAGCAGCCACCGACTTTCGTGAGAATATCTTGGATGTGGCTTTTGTGAAGGTCTTTCGAAAACTTTTGTGCTTGTGGCATGGAGAAGTGTCAAGTTTTGTTAACAGGGGCGGGGACTTGGATCGGTTGCGCTGTTTGATATGAATGGCAGGTAGAGGCCTTTCTCTGAAAAATTAAACAACTCATTATTACCCAAAGGTACATGTACAATCCTTTCGTGAGAGAAATATTTAAAAAGGCTGGTTTCTCAAAACTTGAAATGCAAAAATTGGGACTTCTACTATAATTCTTGCATCTCAAAAAACACAAGACACAGATGCAAGAATCGAGTATTGAGTCACGAGGCAAGACTGTCGACTTACTTTTGAACAGTTCTGTCAGTAACAAGAATAAATTATGCTAACCCCCTATAATTAATAACTATTACTAACAATAACAAGACCTTGCTTAAATTGATTAACTTTTCCTTCAGGCAATTTAAAATGTAATAACCTATAATTTGTGGAATGATGACAAAAAACAGCTTAAGACCTAATTAAACTGGTTTGGAACTAACCCGCCCAAGTTGAAAATTAATAAAGTGACTGAGGCTGCAAAAAAAAATGACCTAAGGAACAAATTAACCTCCACAAGACATAAAGCTGCAATAACATCAAGTCTGGAAACTTCCACATGGTAACAACAACAAACGACATAATGTTTTTTTCATTTACAGTACTGACAATAGCAACAGAACTTAAACAAACCTTTTGTCCAGTCATCCGGGACAAGTACATTTTTTGTCCTGGGCAAGCAAATTTGATTGCTGCTTATCCTAAGGACTAGCTGAAATTATTCTTTTTCAAGTCCAAACAACCCACAAAGAGCTCAAGCTAGTTTGCACCTTCTGTCACAAAGACATCACTTACTTGTCCTCCAAATAATCCATCAAACTAAACTTGGATGTGTACAAAGCATCAACTGTTCCCAGAGGAGAAGGGAAGTCCAAATCTTTTGAAAGACAGGAAAAAGTAGAAGCATCTTCTGTGATGACCCTATACAACAATAACAAAGTTATAGCAACACATTAATTTTGATAAACAGTTAACAGCACAATAATATTTCCTAGCTGGAAAGAAGTCAAGGGCAATTTCACTTCTTTAACAATAACATTTGAATTCATATTATCAGCATTAATTTACTGGACACAGCAGATGATGTAAAATTTAAGAGCAAAGTAAGCATTCTTAAGAGTGGCTTTCCGTAAATATCGACCCACGGTCGGCACAAGTTGAAAATTTGATTTCGCTCATATTTGGTTCATCGATAACCCTTAATGAGTAATGAAACACGCTGTAGTTAGTTTTCCCAAATAAGGAATTCTTTTGTGAAAAATTCGAGAAAACTCATTTTGCCCGTTCGGAGCTCAAAATCCACTTCCGGTAAAGCGAAATTTTACACAAATTCTATTGACTCGTACGTCAAACCACAACGATTTGGCAGCCTTTGAAGAACACGAATAGTTTTTATGACCCTTTCTTTATTATAAGGCGATAAATTTGTGAAAGCTGTAATAATTTTGTGGCCAAAAAGGTATTGTTAAAAATAGGCACTATTGACAATTTCTGCCGTTCAAAATTATAGGGATAAAATAATGCAAATTTTTACAATGCGCTATAACTTAAAATTCCGCAAATTGACTTTCTACTGCTTAACTAGGCCCCAGTCTATCAGAAAATCGAAACAAATCTCTGGGCAAACAATTTTAAGTAGCCCGCAAGACGTTGAGTTCAACCCTAATTTTGCAAAAAAAACGCGACATTGCCGTGGTTAAAAATAGCGTTACACGGCCCGTCACGCCAGTGTTACCGATAGATATGTTTTAAACAATTTACTTAAAGGCAGATTAAAAGCCAGTTCGAAATTAAATCTTTCAGTAAACCTATTATTCTCATTGATTGCAGCATTTTCTTCAGATTCAACATTTAGGGTCCCTGGGATAGCGTCACACACTTTCATGTTCAGTTTCAGACTGGCGATTTCCCTCAAAAAATGGTATATAAACAGAACAAAATCTAAAAACTATAACTGATTACTGAATGAATTTTTGCATTGAGAGATATTTGGGAATTAAATCATCGCCAATCAATGCCATTTGGTTTATAAAAACTAATTTCCTTGAAGCAATTTTAAAGCGTAAAAATATTTTAGACTAAGTATTGGTGGAATAGTTCTTTTCGAAGTTTTTACCCTTTCGGGCTCTCAAGACTGAAAAAAAACTTAGTTTCGGGTTGCTTTCCACATTTCAGTGGAAAATTCCCGAAACAAACGAACGTCTGAAAAGGCAATCGCCTATTTTCTTGGTTGGAAACTTCCAGGCGGAAGTTCGGATTTCATGTCTTCAAACCTTTTTTGAATATTAGTTTCAGGCTTTCGCGGCCGTTTTTCATTAAACGAAACTGACTTAGGAAAATGGTAAACGCGATTAGCGAACGGAATCAAAATTAATCAGTCCTGAATTCTCCTCACCAACTGCCCAAACCGTGAAGCGACCGGTTTACCAATGTAAATAGTAGAAAAGCCTTGATGCCAAGAGCCTGCGATAAAGCTTCCTCTCATCGCTATTTGTCGCCAGAGACATTTCGTCAAAGAGCAGTGAGAGGCGGGTGTATCGCAGACTATGCGTCATATATCTTAAGTACTTTGAGGGGCCTTGTTAAGTGCATAATAGATCGTAGCAAGGGCAGATCGTTGCAACATCTCTAATTACTTATTAAGAGACACCAACAGAAAACTCGCTATTCCTCTACCCCAGACAAATGTTAAGAAAAATAGTTTTTTTGGAGCAGTTCTTTGGAATAGCCTTCCTATATATTGACCAGCAGCAGGCGAAGTCTCTTGGGGTTTTGAGGGCCGGCTGCAAATAATTCTAAATCCGTAGGGTTTTCAGTCTTCTAGTATTCGGTTTGTGATAAAGACAAAGGTAAGGTTTTGGAGGCCTGCTTGGGCGTCTAAGTTTCATGGACTAAGGTTACGGAGGATGAGGAAAGTCCTCAAGTCTGTCTTTCCTTTTTAGGTGTTCCCATTCGTTCGTTACAAGGTTCTTCTTAGGTTTAGTATTATACTCTATTTTGTTTCCCTATTTTTATATTTGTTGTTGTTGTTGTTTTATTTTTTTGCGGAAAAGACGATGTTCTCTTTCCAATCGCTGTTGAAAGGAACTTTCAGTCTTTTAACCTGTCATCTGCAGTTCAGTATTACAGCTAGAGTTTCCATGACACTAAAACGTCAATCAGTGCAAAGTCTTTCAGGCCACAAAGCAGCCCGTACTTTTTGCGTAAGCCAAGAAGGCGGAATAGTCGAGGTAATGGTCTGGACCAAAACAAAATGGTCGTTCCTTCTTGTCTGGAGCAGAGGGGGCACGGCGGGGGAGGGGAGAGGTGAGTGAGACTGGGGATAGAATCGAAAAATAAGTCTAAAAAATACAATAGAAAATGACAAAGAAAAAACAAAAGAAAGAAACAAGAAAAAAAAAAGTTTCGCAGTCTAAAAGCAGTTGAAAAGTTAGTACTACCAAATCCGTTCCTGCTGATCAATAACGAGCGCCAAAAGTGCTCGACGCTCAAGTTAAATACCGCATTTCTTCGAATAAGCGCCCAACCTCGAATTAGCGCCCACCTCGAATAAGCGCCCATCCTAAAGGCAGCAAAGTTAATAGACCCCAAAGCGCCCACCCCCACCCCACTCCCTCGCACACAAACTCAAATAAGAGATAATAAGTAATAAAGAGACCCTCCCGAAGACGGAGTTTTCTTCAGAGCATTTAACAGAAACCTTGCTTTGTTACATCTCCGCTTTTTGTTATTACCATTTATTGTTTTGTTGCAAAACTAACATACTACACTTGCTGAGAATGGCGAAAATTTAATAAGCACCCAGCCTCGAATAAGCACCCACCTCGAATAAGCGCCCACTCTCAAGGTCCAAAAATTTAATAAGTGCCCAGGGTGGTTAATCGAATAAATACGGTATATAACATAAAAATTTGTAAATGAAGGAGGTAGTTAACCTGTAACTGGCCTTAAGGTAGTTGGGAAAACGCAAAGAAAAGTGGGCTAGAAAAAATGGCGAAGGGGCGGGGTTAGGGAGAGAGGGCGAAAGGTCCTCCTACTCTCTCCCTCTTACTCTCTTCCACGTTTGTTTTCCTCCGTTCCCCATTTCGCGCCACTGTCATCCACTATCCACTATCCACTGTCCACTACGCCTGGAATAGGCTAGTTCATAGTGGGCCAGAGAGTTTTTTTTCCAATGGTGATGCAAGGGATCTATAGATGTCCATTTAGGAGCATTTGCCATTTTTAAAAGCTCATGATCTCGCTGCAACTATTCCTGCTTTAGCATTAGTAAAACGACACTTTTTTTTTCTATTTTCCGTTTTGCTGTAGAGGAAAGTTTTTGGTGATTTGTTTTTGATGATGGTGTTTCATCGTCGATCGAAACGAGTTAAAATGTTTTCTGAAACGTTCGTTATAATGTAACTTTATAAGCGTGATAGTAATACATCGAAACGTACATTTATACTTATACATAATTACTTGAAAGAGAAAACTCGCAAGAAAAAAAAAGAGTTCTAATTAGTTAATATTGGTTATCCCCGTCTTAAATTTAACGTATTTATGCCTTTTGACGCATGTTTAAATTAATAAAACACACCACTGTACTTGTTTAAAGTTTGTTTTCGTTGGGCTCCGGTCGTCGAAGTCTTGCCGACGTCGCTCAAAAAAGCCGACTTTTGGGCAATTCTACACGATATATTGTATCCAAACAAAATGACTCTTCTAAATAAAATAAGTGTATTGAAAGATGTAATATAGATTGTAGGCTGGAATTTGGCATGTGATCAGCGTTAAATAGAATGTTGAAAGTGAATCTGTCGTTAACACCGCTGGCGTGACGGGCCGTGTCACGCTATTTTTAACCACTGGAATGTCGCGATTTTTCGCAAAATTAGGGTTGAACTCGACGTCTTGCGGGCTACTTAAAATCGTTTGCCCAGAGATTTGTTTCGATTTTCTGATATATTGGGGCCTAGTTAAGCAGTAGAAAGTCAATTTGCGAAATTCTAAGTTATAGCGCATTGTAAAAATTTACATTATTTTAACCCTATAATTTTGAACGTCAGAAATTGCCAATAGGGCCTATTTTTAACAATACCTTTTTGGCCACAAAATTATTACAGCTTTCACAAATTTATCGTCTTATAAGAAAGAAGGGGTCATAAAAACTATTCGTGTTCTACAAAGGCTGCCAAATCGTTGTGGTTTGACGTACGAGTCAATGGACTTTGTGTAAAATTTTGCTTTACCGGAAGTGGATTTTGAGCTCCGAACGGGCAAAATGAGTTTTCTCGAATTTTAACAAAAAAATTCCTTATTTGGGAAAACTAACTACAGCATGTTTCATTACTCATTAAGGGTTATCGATGAGCCAAAAATGAGCGAAATTCGAATTTTGAACTTGTGCCACAAAAAGTCGATTTTGGTCGATATTTACAGACAGTCGCTCTTAACATAAACCAAGAACAAAACTAAGACAATCCCTTCTACTGTATATTCATCAAAAGAGGATTCGATGCGGGAACAGTGTGGTGGTGAAAGAACTCTCTTCCAACTGATATAGTCACTGCTGAGTCTGGAACATTCCCTTGGGGATAATACTTGTTTTCAGATTCCCAAATTTCTTTCTTTATCTGAGATAATCCTTAATTTCACTTCATTACAACAATTTGGGAGCAGCCCATATTTAAATTTCTGTCGTGGCTCCCTTTCTTTTTTGTGCTTGTCTTATAATGCAACAAAATTTTAAAGAAACAATTTTATACATCTGTGCACATACCATGTAGTGGAGACTTCAACATGAATAGATGTTCCTTTAACATACACTTGGGCCAGCCGAGTGTTTTTATCTCTACTTGGTTTTGCGGTCACCTATCACAGCAAACAAAAAGTACAATATCATACAAAAAAAATAGTACAATCTATGATCTATTCTGATTATAACTACTTTCATTTACTGGTTAATAACAATTAAGTGGAGACAACAGTCAGCAGCACATAACATGAAATAGGAAGAATGACTGGTTAAGCTGCTGGATTTGACCTTGGTCTCAAAGGTTCAAACCTTACTCTAGCTACTTCAGCTGAGAATTTTCTTTGTAGAACACGATGTCGACTCCTCAGCCAAATAAGTAAACGTTTCACCTCCTGCCAGTTGAAATTCTTACTTATGTTTTATTTGATAATAATAATTGTTTGTAGCCACAATTTATTCTTCTTAGTCACTAGTAATGTAGTTATCCCTATAAAGTGAACCTCATTAAATGAAATAAGATCACCGTAGTTATAGACGCAACTTTGGCAGTTGTGAAAAGAAAGTTTGAAAATTCAACCTTGTATGGGAGTTGAACCCATGGCTTCATTGATACCAGTACAGCACTTTTCCATTTTATTGTTATTGTTATTGTTATTGAACTCTGTTTTACTGGTACAACACTTTTTTAGTTGAGCTAACAAGACAACTGACAGTAGGTCATTGATTTTCATACACTGTATTTCATTGAATAAGCATCAGGTGCTTATTTAAAATCACAGCTAAAAAGAGAGGCATTTATTGGAAGGAAAATGCCTACGTGTAATTGAGGCAGGGGAGGGGGGGCAGGGGCGCTTATTAAGTTTTCCTTCCGATGAAGCATAACTTTCTTTGGGCTAAAAACATAAAGTTAATATTAAATAGTCCTTCATTTATTAAAGCAGTAGTTGTAATCAAGTGTACCTTAGTCTCATTAAACACTGTACACATGTTTATAAAGTATTGATTTTCTCATCATCCTTGAGATCATCCTTGTCAATGATATGGAAATCTCCTCATTCCTCTTTTATCCCTACTATTTAAGAAAGTGAGGGGAGGGGGAGGGGGCCCTTATTCATGGGGACGCTTGTCTGATATTATGGCCAAGGGAGTGGGTGCTTATTGGGGGAGGGCACTTATTAGAGCATGGGTGCTTATTCAAGGAAATATGGTATTCATTATTTCAAAGTAAACTTTCTTCTCTTAGTTGTCAGTACCAGAACAATCAATGTTTACTCACCAGGTGGGCTCTGCCAAAGAGAAGCTGCACAGCAGCCTTTGCTGCAGAGCTGGACACTGGAGAACACGCTTCATACAACACCATCAGTACAAACATGTCCAGGGTCTCACGGTTAAGTGGAATGTCATTCTGTTTGGCCACTGAACTAACGAGGTCTCTAATGCAGTGCTGCTCAGAAAGAAAATATTACAGATTCGCTATGTCAAACAATAGGGGTGCATTTCTTTGGATGTTCCAGATCAGGATCAGGATCAGTGATCCAAAATCAATTGGATAACAGTGGTACATCAAATGAACCGACAAATCCTTTCCCAGGGTTGTTTCATCGGTTCATTGAATGGACAAACTGCATGCAAAGATCTACAAGTAACTTCTCATGACTATTGACTTTTCAGACTTTCTAGGACTGGATTAATCAACATTTAAATTGTTTGCTTTAATTTCCACCACTGTATCAACAGTGAAAACTTCTGAGGCAATATAGGCAAACCTGAAGTTTAAAATAATTATTTATTTCTGTTGTAATATGAATAAAGACAATAATAAAGACTCTAATTACCATTTTAGACTTGAAATTATCGTTTGCTTTACTTGGAGAAGAACACACTTCAGTTATGACATAACCTAGGAAGATTATCAAACAACACTATTTATTAAGGAAACTAATATCAAGTGCAGTGTGCAGAGAAAGGCATGTCTGATAGCCCGGGGATATTGAATTTTGCTGAGAAATTTTGTTCTTTACTTGCCTGATGGACAAGTGAAACTGAAGTTCTCAGGGAATTCAATCATTACAGAAGAACTGTAATCAATATTGCTCATCAGAAATTTTTTAGGGGGCTGGTTTAAATTACTCGAGATAGTACACGCTACACTGTAGATGCAGCTACACTTTGCCCAAATGGCAAGACGTAAAACTGACCTTCTTTGCCCCCTGAAGTGACCACATTATTATTTATTTTGCTTGTTAGAAAACTTGACTGAAAAACAGGAGACTTGAGTTTGACTTTGCATCATCATTATTTTTATAAATGCCACATGCATCTCACCAATTTTTAACTGTAGTTTAGGAATTAACTTCAGAATCTGTTGTTCCATTTCTTGAACAGTGGAGGCTTCTGTAACACCACCAGCTGCTATGGCCTCAAGCTCACTGCAGCATCCCTAAAAGCAGAAAGGTCATAAAATAAGCGTTTATACCCACCTCTATCCTGTAACTTCTGTCACCATGAAAGCTTAATTAGGTAGTCAATATGCTTTTCATCATCAGTCTCTAATAATGTAGAAAGGTCCAATAAGGGTGAAAAGTCTGGAAAGCAAGAATGGGTGAGATATTGCAATGGAGAGCCAATGAAAGCCATTGTTTACTCTTGATACCTTGGACCGTGAGCTATTTGACCTGCCTTTAGATTAACAGCTGAGAAAACGTCCCTTGACATAAATACATTGTACATGTAGAATCAAAAGGAAAGATTACTTTTACATTAATTTTTAAAGCAAGATATAGTGTAGCAATTTGCAAGGCTGCAAATAACAGTCGGTCATCAGACAATTGTCCGGTAAATTTGACGCTTTGACCGGAGAAATATTAGTCTAGTCTGTCACTCTGTCCGACCAGACTGTTTCCTTGTCAGGTCAGGTCTGTTCTCTGACCTGACAAATGACCTGCTTATGAAAAAAAATTATTTGCAGCCTTGATTTGATTGCTAATTATAGTGTGACGCCTGCGTCACAGACATAATCAAACCGCAGTTACACGTGGTTACTGTAATGTCTGCAAAGCAGCGCTGATATCCTTGCTCTGGGCCCCTGATTGGCAAATTAACAATGGCTTTTTTAACAGGCCAATTTCCTGGGTATACTCAAATCCTGGTACACAAGTAGGGCCCACAACAAGGATTTTGGTGCCAATTCACAGATGGACTTAGCCAGAAGTTACGTTTTGTCTGTGATGTAGGCTATAAAATGTATTGTTACAGTAAAATTTAATATTCATAACTTTGATTCTTTGATGGTTAAAGTAAGTTCCTGTTTCTCACATGACCTTCCATGGTGAGAGTATGGACACTTCCTCTGTTCTATAATAATAATATAAACCCTAAGATCAAAATTTGAATTCTCATTTGTTGCCCCCATTTCCTACAGAAGTAGTGGGGAGAGGTTGATAAAATATCAAGCAAATTTATCTTGTGTGCTCATGTCTGTAATAGACCTTTCCCGCATTCCTGTAAACAAAGGCACCAACTTGAGGCTCGGGTGTGCAAAATACAGTGATTTGAAATTGATGAAATTGTCTACCTGAGCCTCATACTCATTTCTTTATGTTTGCTCACTGGAGCGTAATGCAGGAAAGGTCTATTCTCATGACCATTCTGTTTTACAAAGCATTGATATCACAAGAAGAAATTTGATGCTGATCACTCTTAGGGCTTAATGGGATAGGGCCTCCCTTCATGAAGAACAGAATAATAATCTCTATAAATTTCATGTCTAAACTTGCCTTAAGAGCCAGCTCTATTCCTCTGGGGTTTTTGTGGAAGCCTGCTGGTATATCTGCTTCTGGTGTTGGTGCTCGTTCAAACTCCTTTTTGTAATTCTACAATCATTAACAATATTGACCAAAAAGTTTGCAAACACAATGTGTGAAAAAAAGTATAGAATTATTACAATATATGCCATATTCTATACATTATTACGCAGCCAAAGAAACAAATGAAGAACAACAACAACAACAACAACAACAACAGCAAGAAGAAATGTTTACCTTAAGCAGAGTATTGACTTTTTGTATCAAATCTTTTCTGTCTGGATCGGCCAGATCTCCCTGACCACCCAGTGTTAGGAACTGGACTTGTTCACGTGACAACAGTTCACCGTGCCGCAAAGCTTGGTTAGACTGCAAGAAAAGCAGATTACAGCTCAGTACAAGGACCCCTGTGAACAGAGGTATTTTCTGCAGGTTCACCTGTGTTTGTATCCCTTCTCAATACACCCTTCCACGGGATTTTTAACTTTTGACTGGCACCAATTAGCAAAAATCCATCTGCAAAATTTCATGACTTTGTAAAGCAATATCTTTGCTCACTTTTAATCAGGGTACAAAGAAAATCATTTTTACAGCTTGCCATTCTGGCAAGCTGAAGCAAGCATTTACTAGCCCAAATGTCATTTCAACTAGCCTCAAAAGCTTGTTGACGAGCAGAACTATTTCGCAGTTCTTCTTCAATTTGAATTCCTCAATAAACATCACTTGCCTGTCAGGCAAGTCAAGAACAGAATTCACTAGCCTGAAAACAAAATCCACTAGCCCCGGGCTAACAGACACTACTTTCTTTGCAAGCTGTTAACCCTTTAAGTCCCAACAGTGACCAAGATCAAATTTCTCATAACAATATCCATACACTGTCAAGAGATACGTTATGAGAATAAATCAAATGATCACCCAAGAGAAAATGCCCTGATCTTTTATCAAATTCTCTCAACTATTCTTTAAGGAAATGTATGGAGATCAGTTTGGAGAATTTGTATGTTGATAATGGGGCTTAAAGGGTTAACTTATCACTGTTAAACTTGGTCTTTAACACCATCATGACTTTGTGGAGCAATTTCTTTGGGCACTTTTTAAGTATCACCTTTAACCTTGGTAAGTTTGCTAACTTCAAGGCACTCTTTCCAGCAGAGTCAATGGATATTCACTAATTGGTCTTTGTCAAAACTTGGGTTCATTCCAGTTTACTCTGGAATCTTACGGACACAGGCTCACTGTGCCAAGAGCCATCTTCTGTAAAATCATGTAGTGCAATAGTGACATATATATAGAACACAGTGGACAAAGGTTCAAATCCTCTCTGATGTAGGAAGCAAAAAAGTGATGTTCTATGGCCGGGGCTAGTGAAGTACACTGTAATCTGCTGGGATAGTATGTTATGATTACAAGTTGTCCAATGGGAAGGCAAATACACGTAGTAAAATCTGATTGGGAAAGGGGGGCTGGTAGGCTTGCCCAGACTAGTAAACTGCATCTTGCTCTTTGGTGAACCACCATGTTAACTGCTGCCTGTATAGCTTTATTCAGGTTGACGGCTATTTTGGTAAGCGAGAAGTTCAGATTCAAGCCCTAGTCACAGAACCAACTCGGGTCTAAAAATATTGGTATGATCATGCGGGCTGTGTTTAACACCCCATCATGGTTCAGATGATCATGTCACTGGGTGGTGACATAAAGTTCTTGGCCTTGTCCCAATAGGCCATTTTACAGTTATGGGCTTAGTGTCCTAGCCTTCGAGTGAATGTGAGGCTGAGGTTGACCTTGTTTTGATACAAACCTCCTCTCTTTTCTACCATCACTTTGCTTTAAAAATACTAGTTAGCATAAGAAAAACACAATTTACATAATGGAGCAGGAAGCTAAGGGTTGTATCAAAACAAAGGCAACTCCAGCCTCGTTTCCACCTGTAACTGTAAAATGGATTATTATCTTTGTTTATTAACTCAGTTTGAGGGGAAGGTAAAAAAGCCCACACCGCTGTTTGAAGATGGAAAAGGGTATTTTCCAAGGATGTGTTGCCCACCTCTACCAGTTCACTCATATCAAAGGTTGAGACTCACAGAACCACTGCAGTTGTTCAAAAGCTGGATAGCGCTATCCACCAGATAAATCACCATCCAGTGGATAAATATTAGGGGAGCAAATTGCGCTATCCAGTCAATAGAGATTTATCCGGTGGATAGTGCTATCCACCTTTTGAACAACTGGAGTCAGGCTCAAAAATATATTCACCATCACATCTCTATCACCCTTTTTCTTTTTTCTTTTTGGAACAAAGCAGACTGATTCTCTTACTCAACTGAAATAGCTTACAGAGTTCTAGATTTCAAGCCCCAAGTTCATATGAACTGTCCAAGGACACATGTACCTACTTGAGCAAGGGAAATCCAAGTAGCTGTGGCATCCTTCAGAGCCAGGGTAACTTCTCTGTCCCGCAGATAGTCACCAATCTCGTGGAAGCCTCCAAGCGATGTTGTCAAGTCAGCTGATGACATCAAAAACTGTGCCTGAACTTGCAATAGTGACAGGAAGCAAGATCCCAGCATCTAATAATAATAATATTGTCAGATAACTTCTCAAATCATTCTTACCATCAGACATTCCCTCCATCCACACAAGAATTCTAGTACAGGTTTTCCTCTGTCTTCGCCATCACCACTACAAAAAAGTTGCATGTTTTTTGTTGCCTGTTTTTCCGTACTTCAGGGCTTCTGACAGGTCGCGGAAGAAAAAATCAAATTTCACTGGATTTTTAGGGACAAATTCGTGAAAAATCAGCCGATTTCGCGGTAATTTCGTGGGTGTTTTCGGGGCAAACTTCACCGAAAAGCAATCGGTAAAAAACAGGCGACAAAAAACATGCAACTTGTTTTGCACCATTGCTGCAAAAGAGTTGCAAAGATATTAAATTGCATGTTTTACCACCCACGTTCAAACCTGTCAACAACTTGATTTGGTGCAAGACAGGCTTGATATGCAACTCATTTTGCAGCAATAGTGCAAAACAAGTTGAATGTTTTTTGTTGCCTGTTTTTCCGTATCTTAAGCAATCTGAGTAATTTTCAGCCCTTTGCAAAGCAAAATTGCTGGGTGGCAAAATGTTAATAAGCCATACATTCCTTGTTAAATTTCAACTTTTTAAAGAAAATTTTCTCTAAAACTATTAGGGATACGAGGCTCACATTTTTGGCGATCACTGATATTGCAATGCTCTTTAACTCTTCAAAAATATTACTGGTTTAGCCAAAGACTGACAAGTAAAATATGTTAATGAAGCAAAAATAAAACGAAGCAAAGATTTGCATATTCATCAGGCCTAGTTATGCTACGCCAAAAGTGACAAAATATCAAAGATGCAACTTTATAATTCAAATACACCAATTCACTATCAAGATCGATAAAATTAACATCAATTTGCTTTTTGAATGTGTCAAGATTGTAGAATTTACTTTCAATTCCCACGTGTTTCATGTCATGTATCAAGAGACACGTTATCTAAATCAAGTTGCATGTTTTTTAAATCAAGAAGGGAGACGACAATTTTTGATCAGTTTTGTTTCCGAGGGGGACTGAAACCGANGCCATACATTCCTTGTTAAATTTCAACTTTTTAAAGAAAATTTTCTCTAAAACTATTAGGGATACGAGGCTCACATTTTTGGCGATCACTGATATTGCAATGCTCTTTAACTCTTCAAAAATATTACTGGTTTAGCCAAAGACTGACAAGTAAAATATGTTAATGAAGCAAAAATAAAACGAAGCAAAGATTTGCATATTCATCAGGCCTAGTTGTTGACAAGGTTGATGACGTTATCCACTGAATAAATCTCTAACAAGTCACATTTTTGAAGACAAATTCATTCTACTGTTTAGGATATAAATTATTACAATAATAGGTCTTTTGCATTAGTTGATCACGTGATCAACTTTTGGTAAACACGAAACAGTTCGCTTTTGAAAAATTTTAATAGAACAAGCTGAAAGAGCATATATTAAAATTAGGTAACCCATACATTTTCAGCCCTACATATCTCAAAAGTAGTGATTGCAATGGCCGCCGAAAATTAGAAGGATTTGTATGAGAAAAACAACTTCTGCCGCCCAGTCACACTTGAATGGTTTCCATACAAATCCTTGTAAATTTCGTAATTTTCGAATTGCCATGAAATATTTCCTTAAGCATTATAGGGCTCAAATCTCCTTTTAATTCATAACAGGCACTTTGAGCCCTTAAATGCATAAGGGAAAGATTTAACTACAGTTTAAAAATTTCAGAATTTATAATGAGTTGTATGGAAAACCACAGTCTTAAGCATGACTGGGTGGCATGAGTTGTTTTTCTCATACAAATCCTTCTAATTTTCAGCGGCTGTTGTAATGGCTACTTGTGAGATATATAATGCTGACAATTTACAGGCTACATAATTGCAGGCGAAAAGAGGAGCCCACAGTCTAATCTTGACTTGGTCAGCAGCACTTTATTAACTGTATAGCAATATTTCTCTCGATCTTCCTAACAAAATCTTTCAAAAGTGAACTGTTTTCGTGTTTACCAAAAGTTGATCACATGATCAACTAATGCAAAACTCTACATGAGCATGTGATCCCCTGAATATCAAATGACAGTCCCAGGAACCCCTACACCTCCAGAAGCAATGGGGCTATTCAGTTTTGGACCAAACTTTAAATTTTTAACTGCTTTATATCGATTTTTGCTCTTTTTGAATATTAACTGAGGTAAAATTTACTGTGTAAACCCACTCAGAAAGACTTTGAGGGTTCTTTAGATCAGAATACCAGCTGGCCTTTCAAAGATAAGATAGGAGACCTGCAATGGTATGATATTACAACACGACAGCTATGGCACATGCAGCTAGACAATATGTTCCAACTGATAAGGTGCATATTTTACAGAAAATGCCCCCCTCCCAGCCATTTCTGAAAAAAAGGGAAAAACGGCCATCATTGTCGGCAAAATACAACACATTTCATTTTCCTGAACAAGGGAAAGCAATACTGAAACAGTACTTAGGACTGTTTTGTTTTCAAAACATTCCAACCACATTTACCAATAGGCATTTTAACTGTTTTTGAACTGGCCTCAATGCTCACATGCACACGCTATTAATAATCTTTTTCCAGTTCATCGGTATAATTCTTACATTAGTAATTTTCGGCTCATCCTCAGTGTAAAAAACCTGTGAGACTCACGAGTGATGTAAAACAATGAATACAAAGAAGCCACTGAGAAGTCAACACAACAGAGACAAGGAAAATAATAGCTAGAAAACAAAGAAAACTTCACAGGTTTTTACACCGAGGTAAACCCAAATTTTCATTCTCAGCTTAAAATACCAATCAAGCTATATTTGTAATCTTCCTGAATTATGTAAGAGATTCGACCAATAAAGACAGCGTATATAAAGAAGTTTATAAAAATGTTTTGACGCCACTCCTACGCAAAACAATCATTATAAGCCGTAAAATGGTGAAGATTCTCACCATGAACTCTAAGAAGTGATTGTTTTAGCTCGGATTAAAAAGATCAATAAGACGGAGAGTTCCGCTTTCTTTTGTCAAAAAGCTGTCTTTATTCCAAAGGAACGATGCAATTTGAAAACCTTCCAAAAAACGCCTCAGGACAAGGCGACATGTGACATAGTTCGCCAGATGTTCTAAAACACACCTCTTCAATCGCCCGCCAAGAAATTAAATAACTACGTTTAGCTTAACTCTAAACTTGTATTAAACTTCTTTCTAACTGGGGATAGATTAGCATTTTCAACCATAATTCAGAGCTTATTTACATCTTAACATCTGATGTAATACGCTTTGTTCGGATTTAACCTTACACCCACAGTTATTTTGGGAATATGACAAACAATAGTTGAGGTGAAGGCTTCAGTAGTTTGGTACAAAATACAAGAAATTTCACAAACACAAATTTGGTATCTCACGCTAATGTTTAGCGCCTAAACCTAACCAAACATCCCCAAAATTAAGAAACAATTGGGAGACGCTAGAAAAAAGTAAGGATAATGCACAAAAGACAACATGAAACACGCCAGTGGTTTTGAAATATAATCAACAATCTTAAATGTCAAACCGGATAGAATGTTCTAGAGAGATAAAACGTTTCTCATAACAGGATAACCCACCTTGACTCGATTTTCTTCAACTTCAGAAAAGCTTCTGTATAACTGTTCTTCTACCGTTGTAAGCTCCTCTGTGGCAGCTCGAAATCGTTGTCTGCTTGTTTTGAGTCTCTTCCCATCGTTGTTTACTAAGCTATCATCTTTCTCTAACACGTCGAGGTTTTCCTGACACGACTCGTAGTTTTGAACACTTCTTTTATGAGCTTCAATTGCTCTTCTGAGCTCTGGCAACGTTGCCGTGAAATCGCAAAGGGTCCCAAGTATTTGACTCGTGATATGAACACTCGACTTATGAGCGACATGGTCAATTTCTTCCACAACTTGCTTCAGCTGCTGCGAGATTTCTAACAGCGGCGTTTCCTTTAAAACCGTCGAGAAAGCCTCAGCTAACTGGGAGCCTGCTCCACAGAAAGCTTTTGTGGCATCTAAGTAACCTTTTATGAGCTTCTCGATCAATCCCACATTCGATTCGAGGGTTCCCACGTTCGTAAGAAGCTTCTGATGATAAGTTTGAGCTTTGCTCGTGTCGCCTTTAGTCTCTTTCCATTGATGATAAGACAAATACCTTACGCTGTCCATATTTCACATTACCCGCTGTCCCCGAAGATGAAAACATAGGAAAGAGATCATTCAAGAAAGCGGAAACGCGGCGCGCTTTCTCTGATCTTTCACTGAACTCTGAACATTCGTTTCACAACTTCAAGCAAACATCTGATTTCATTTGAACATACGATCGATACCATCAGCGGTAATAATCAGAGCGCATGCCTAGGACGTACCATGTGGCAAAATCAAGATGGCTGTCGTTTCGGTGGAAGTAAAAGCTTGGTGCATTCAAGAACTGTTAAAAATAACAGAGAAGGAAGACGAAGTGTCAGAAAATATATTGTCCATGAGTACTGCTAGTGAGTTAACTTCTTATATGAAAAAAGTTCTTGATCCCCAAAATAGCAGACATCAGAAAATTTTAGAGGAATTTTTCAAGTTAACGGAAACCTGTGACTTGAACACTATGTCATATTCTCAAAAGTGTTCAGGCATATTTGATGGTAAAACGGATCCGCCTCCAAAGAAAATCGAAAGTAAAGGAAGAAACATCCCAGTCAAGGAAGCCAAGAAGAAATTTGTACCCCTGTATGGCGCAGAAGGACAAGCGAGAAGCTCCGTGCTCTTGCCGGGAAGACACGCATGTGAATGTCTGGGCCAAAAACATGGTCTAGTGAACAATTGCACAGATTGTGGGCGTATTGTTTGCACGCAGGAGGGCTCTGGACCTTGTTACTTTTGTGGAGCTTTAGTTTGCACTAGAGAGGAACAAGAGATCTTGGATAGAAATTCTAAAAAGAGCAAAAAACTTTTGGAGAAGCTGATGACACAGGATATAGCAGACATGAATAGTAAAGAAGATTCAGTGATAGACAAAGGCCTACAAGAAGCCATTGCTCACAAAAACAAGCTTATTGAATATGACAAAAGTGGGGTGCGTCGTACTAAAGTAATTGATGATGAATGCGACTACTTTGCAAGCAACAGTAGATGGCTATCTAAACAGGAGAGAGATGCCTTAAGGAAGAAAGAAGAAGAGTTACGAGAGAAACGGTATGGCTCTCGCAGGCAGCAGAAAATAACCCTCGACTTTGCAGGTCGCAGAGTCATTGACGAGAATGAGCCTGATTATAGTTTTGATTCTGATATGGCTGTTCTAGCCTCTGGCTATTACAGTACCGATGAAAATCAAGAACCACAAAGAGTTTCTAATCCTACTGTTCCAAATGTAAACTCCTTAAAATTTGTTTCTTCAGGAAACAGAGAAAGTAAACCATTAAGTTATGGAGGTCCAGCTGTGAAGGGGAAAAAAGAGATACTGCGTATCCAGGACAAAGAATTTCAAGAGATGACTGATAGTGGAGCTTGTTTAAGCATGCATCAGCCATGGGCCTCACTGCTTGTGATGGGAATTAAGAAGGTTGAAGGCCGTGTCTGGTATACACCTCACCGTGGACGTCTTTGGATTGCCGCTACAGCTAAGCCTCCCTCTGAACAAGACATTGCCGGTGTCGAGGGGATGTATAAGGCTCTTTATGGCCCTGAAAGTGTGACTTTTCCCAAGCACTACCCTACTTCATGTCTTTTAGGATGTGTTGATGTTGTGGACTGTCTTGCCCAGGAAGATTACAAAGAGGAGTTTCCAGAGGGCGAGTCTGAATCTCCTTATGTCTTTGTCTGCGAGAACCCTCAACAGCTTACAGTTAAGTTTCCAGTGAAGGGACAGCACAAAATCTGGAAACTTGATCCTGCAATTCACAAAGCTGCTAAAGGAGGGCTTAGAAAAGCTGCATGAATGGTCCACTGATATTCCTTTGTTTGTTTGTTCTTTACTTACATGTAAGAAATGTTTAAGTTTGACTATATGTAAGTCAGTCAGACTCAAGATCGGCAATAGTGCTTTTTTACCAGCCAGATCCTCATTGACTGTATGAAGAAAGGATTATTGTCTTCTTAAGTCTTAAAAGAGTTGTGCTAGAACTGAAAACAGGTCTACAGTCTTTAATTCCTGCTGATGTGTCCAGTCTCTGGGATTAAGAAACTATCAAGTGGCCCAAAGGATGCTTTGCAAAGTGATTGATAACTCAGAAAGTTTTTCTCTGTCAAGGTTTTTTC